GTTTGCCATGCTTCAATGTCGGCACTACAATGGCCTCGCGCCACGGCACCGGAAACTCGCCAGACTCCCACAGTCGGTCGAAGGCCACCAACAGGGCCTTCACTGCCACCGAGGGCAGCCGCCCTAGCATGTCATTATGGACCAACTCCGGACCTTCCGCTACGATGCGCAAGGTACGCATGGTAGACACCAGCTCCGTCACCGTAAATGGTCCGGTATAAGACGTGTTTGCCAGTGGTAAAATCGATATGAGTCGCTTCACACGGGCCATATATCCAAGAAACTGCTGATCACCGCTGCCGTTTCTGCAGCGCTCCGCCAGCGCGGACAATTTCGTTTGCCACTGCAGATGGATGGAGAACGTCGCTGTCGTTTACACACAGCACAGGAGAAGGTACAGCCGAGAAATGGCCAGCAATGCGTTCTGTATGTGCTCAAACGTTCGATGTAGGTGTTCGGTTGTTTAACTGCCCAGCATATGTTCGCCACGACGCGCGCTGGCCTCCGTAACAGTGTGTTGGGGCGCGGCTCGAGCTCGTTTGAACGCAATCAGATTGTCAGTGGTTCTGTGCCGATCAAACATTCTCAGGGCTCCATGGAACACCGTCTACCGTCCACCATGGAACAAGGGTCGACGAGGGGCACCAGATGTCCGTGGTATACACTCCTTAGCGGATGTTAGCAGCGTTGTGGTGATGTCCTCTACTGACCCAGGCTCCTCTGCCAGTCTTGTATTCAGGGTGGTATCCATCCGTCTCTGGAAAGCGTTCGAGTCAGGTCGTTTAAAATTTCATCGCTGTGGTCTGGTTCTGAGGCGCGGCTCAGTCGGTAATGCCATACCGGGAAGTGATCGCTCCCATAAGGGTCGTCTGCAACTTGCCACTTGCAACTTGTGAAATGGTTTACCAACTGTGGACCAGATATACTCAAGTCCAGTGCCAACGTCTGTTTTGATGGCAGGGTGAAGTGCGTCCTGGTCCGTCCAGCGATGACTTGAACTAAAAAGGTAATCTAGGAAGATGCGCAGGTTACATTGCCGGCCAGCAGCGCAACTGTGCGAATCGCCGTTACGGCCAGGCAGAGCGTTGCTCGATACCCTGTTGTGGGAATTGGGATCGACCGGAAAAAGTGCACTGGCTGCTGATAGCTCTTTGCCAGTGCCATCGAACGCACACAATTGCAATCCTCGGGTTCGGATTATCACTTTTTTCTAAGCACGCAGGATTATGGGCATCACTCTACGGGCCGACCTGCTTCATTTAACAATGCGCCTTACAGGAGTGATTCCCACGAAAAGGTCATGCCATCCGAGGAAAAATTCACGTCGCCGGCCGATAATTTTTCCTCAATGACACCATCTGTGCAAGGTTGCATGATCCGCACAAAAGCGAAAGTAGTTAAACTTGGGCGCCGCATATGTGTGGTCCACGGCTCCGGTGGTCCCTCAAGCATTCAGTAATACGCTGTCGGTCGTCAACGGAATGCAAACGAAACCGAAATTCGGCGAGTTTCACGTACTTACAGATAAAACCCCATTACTATCGAATATTCATAGTCGCAGTCTCACAGTTTCATTTTAAGTAGGTCTCCCGGACGCCGTATTATGGCTACCACTTAACGTGCAGGTTGGCCAAAGTTAGGCAAGCGTCGTTAAGGGGTGATTGAAACAAACCGGGTCATGTGGTCCGGTATGGTGTTTACATTGTCGGCCGTCAGCTCTCCGGCAGTGTTATGGTCTGCGCAAGCTTGCATCCTCCGCGCGCTAGTAAAAGTATTTACACTTAGGTGATGTATTTCAACTTCGTCGACGTATCTGTGCCAATCATCGCCCCTGCCGGCCCGCAAGCGTTGAATGATATCGTTGAGCACTTCGTCCCCACGTTTTCCATTGGCCACTGTCATTAACCACTGTCGTCGACCGCGTGACAACGAAATGTACACGAAGTCAAAATTCGACAAGTGTGACGTACTTGCAGGTTAGAGTCCATTACCAATGCTGTTGAACGCACACGGTCGTATTCCTTGGGCTTAGTTGTAAGTATTTTTCACGCCATGTCTAGTTTGGTCATCATTGTACGGGCGGCCGGCCGCAGTGCCTATGTGCTGTGAAGTGGTGTTTTGAACAAACGAAGGTCGTAGTTGCAAAGTCGTGTGGGCCGATGGGAGCCTTGCGTTCTTTGCCCATAGCTCTCTGAAAATGACATCAACTCCGCAAAGTTCAACCTTTCGCGCACAAAGTGAACGCTTTATAGATGCAAATCACCGCTCCGGTCAGTTGACACCCGGGCATAAGAAAAGGTGTTGGAAATAGGACGCCATAACCGTGCAATCATCGCTCGGCCTGCCAGCAAGCGTTGTTTGATACGCTGTCATGGGGCCGACCGAATCAAATCGAAATCGGGATGCGACGAGTGTGTTGTACTTGGAGCTGATATCCCTGTACCAGTGTTATTGAATGCACACAGTCGCAACCTTCTGTTTGATTATAAATATTTGTTCCCAAGCCGCCGTATTATGACCATCACTCTACCGGCAGGCCGGCCGCAGTTTTGTATGCGCAGTCAAGGGGGAATTTCAGCAAACAATACCACGTAGGCCGATGAAAGATTTACATTACCCTCCCTTTTCCCACAATAACATCAGCAGCACATGGCTTCGCTTTCCACGCACAAGTAAAGTATTGTAAATTGGGCGACTTATCAATGTAAATCATCGCTTTGGCTGGCCTGTAAATATTGGGTGATACACTGTCGGGGGAGGGGGAGGCAATAAAATAAGATCGAAACTAAAATTCGACGAGAATGTTGTAATGGCGGCTTGCAGCGTCATGTCAGGGCATCGAGTGCACGCAGTGTGATTGTGTGTGTCTCGTTATAAGTTTTTTTCACTTGCCGCCGTGGAATGGCCATCACTCTAGTGATGGAGACCAGCCGCTGTTAGCCATGCGCTGTTAAGGAGTGATTTCAAGAAAAAGGCCACGTTGGCTAATGAGGGAGGGGTTACATTGTCGGCTGATATTTATCCCAAAATGACGTTGTGTGCGCAAGACTTCGCTTTTCGCGCAGACGTAAAAGTATTTCAAATTGGACGCCGTATTTTTGCAAATAACATCTGGCCGCCCCGCAAGCACACAATTCACCGACGCTTGATGCCGGTGAATTGGCTGAATAAAATCTGAACTGCAACCTGACGGGTGCACTGTACTGGGAGCTGACAGTGCTATACCGGCGCTATTGAGTGTAAACAGTATCAATTTTTGGGTTTCATAATAAGTATGTTTCCGGGCTGCCGAACATGCTCATCACTTTAGGGTCAGGCTGGCCACAGATAGCTGCGCAACCCACGGTGTGTTTTCATCAAAACAGCTTATGTCGGCCGATGAAAGATACCCATTGCCGCCCGATGACGCTGCCACAATGACATCATCTGCGCACAGTTGTACCTTCCGCACACAATTTAATGTACTTCCAATTGGACGCCGTTCATGCGGAAGTCAAGGATCCCGCCGGTCCGTCAGCATTGACTGATATGCTCGCGCGGGCTCGATCGAATTAAGAAGAACCCGAAATTCGACTATTGTGTTGTGCTGGCAGCGGGTAGCCTTATACCGGCGTTAACGAATGCACCAATTCGCAATTTTCGGGTTTCAACATAGATATGTTTTCCGGCACTCCGCGTTATGGCAATGCTCACCGTAAGCATCAAAGGTTAGTTGGAGAATTGACTGCCATTGGAGACAACGATGTAGAGGGGAGTGTCCCAAATACAAGACACCGGGTACTGACGGGATGCCCAAGCTCAACAACTTGACTCAAACATTTATTGATAGCGCTGGTTTCACGCCTCGGGTTAAATTTGACCGAAAACAATCGTCACGTAGGGGACCAAAATCAAGAAGCTGGAGGTTTCTCGATTAAATTAGCCGCGGTTAGATTTTCAATGAGCCAGCCGAATTGAACGTTTAGATATTTGTTATTGGTTTTGTACTGAGCGCAAGTATTGCGGACATTCTAAGTGCATTTTTTGAACGGCTGGAAACTTACAGCAGAACAAAGGAAATCAAGCAGCATAAGGCATTTAAATTCCCAGTTGATTTTATTAAGACCCTCAGGCACATGAGATCAGCGATATGCCACGTCAAATCACAAATTGGTAGCAAGATAAGCTCTGCCAAGAACTTTATGATCACAAGGATGAAACATTCCACGAACCTTCATGATACATTGCATATTTTAAATACGAAGATGACATCGACTGCCTAGCCATGGTCAAGGCAACTCCCATATGTGCCAAACAATGTATGCCATTTACTTCACGTCATGCAGTGCCACAAAAAACGGGCAGTTTTATAGCAGGGATCAGAAATATGAAAATCGGGGCGCCAGCTCTCCTGCAACAACGTTTCAATGGCAACACTTAGCACTGATTACGTGAAAAATACCGTCATGGTGCACAGCATCAGGCAACGCCACTAACTCTCAACACAACGCATTGCAAATCGGAGGCTGCGAGCCCAGCGCACCAGGCAGGCGCGTCGAAGCGCTGATCGCAGAAGCGCGGTGCGAGCCGCCAAGATCTTGAACAAGATCCCGTTTGGACAGCGGTGGGAATTACCCGCGTGTCCCCTGGCTGCCTCAGCGTGGCAAGCATGTGGGCTCGGTTTATCCGCTGTGACTCACGTGGGTCTGTACTGGAGCACGGTCCGGCACATCCCCCGGCTGTGCGGCAGGTGAGCTTCACATGACGTCACCAGAACCCCGTTGGTGCCACGAGGACGACGATGAAGCGAAATGAGACAGACGAGTGAGCGTCTCCCTGGCTACCCGCCGTGCTCTCACACAGCCGCCAATGGCTGTCGTCACCAGGCCTAGTACAGCCATTTGAAGGTCCGACATGACTGGGTAGGATCCTCACATGGCCGCAACAAGCTTGTGGTCCCAGCCCACCCGCTGCGATTCCCCACACAGGCCAGAGCCATCGCCCGGCCGTCGATGTTCGCCTTACATGGCCGTCTCCAGTGGCTGTGACCGCGCCCGACCGCTGCGGAACAGGTCTCCGGCCTCCGCGCTGGGGCCGACTGGGAACGGGTCGGCCGAGACGGCCGCCTGCACGCCCCAGGCCGACGGCGAGGCCGGCCGGCGCAGCTGGCCCACGTTCTGATATACGGGCGCTGTGTCCGAGCGGAACAGCGGCGGCCGCGCCGCGCCCTTCAGCTCCACCGAGCTGGAGCTCAGCTCGCTGCTGACGTCACTGGCGGAGCTGGCGGGGTCGTGAGGGACGCTGGTGCCTGCTGCGATGCAGACCGCCGGTGGCACCGGCGTGTCCGGCTGGCCGTACCCGCCGCCGCCGGCTATTGGATCGGGCGACTGGGTGCTGGCGTAGATGTGGGCACCGCTCGGGTTTTGCTGCGGCGTAAACCGGGCGTCGAACGCCACGCCCGAGTCCGACTCGTCCAGCGAGTGTTTGTCGAGCGACGCCGCGCTACCGCCGGTCACGACGTCTGACTGCTGGTTCGGCTGTCCAGGGATAGATGGCAGTACGTTAGAGGCCAGCGAGCGTTGGGTTGTATACATGAGATTGCCGTGAGCCTGGCGCCCTGGCAACGTGACGCCATCTTTTAACAAACTCAACAACAAACTGTGGCATGTGAACAAGAACTGTCGAACACTTCGCTTAAAATCTGTTCGCCGCTCCCAAAGTTTTGACGTTAATGCTCCCTACACCCTCACCCGTCCTGTCTGTCCTTTTCTTTCATTCTTCTCCCTCATTCCTGCTCTCCTACTCCCTGTTCTTTACTTCCTGTCTTCCCCACTGTCCCTTCTTCCCCTCATTGCCATCTTCCCTCTCCCCGCGCTCTCCCTCCTCTTTTTCAGTTGCCTTCCCCACTTCCCACGCCACCGTCTGCCTGGTTGCTGGTCATTTCCGGTCAGCGTCCAGCGGTTCGGCGCCGCACTCGCCTGTGGGCGTCGCCGCCCGCCGGGGGAGGCGTCCAGGCCGCTGCTCATCAGCGAGCGCGTACTGCGCGAGCTGGCGCGGCCGGCGCGCCGCCGCTGCAGCCGCTCCCAGCGCCGGTGGCGCGACTTGATCAGCCAGAGCAGCAGCAGCGTCATCACCAGCAGCAGGGCGGCCGCGGCGGCGCACAGCACACCGACCACGGCACTGTCTCTCGTCCACGACAGTGGGTCGGCGTACACGCGCGGGTCTGCCGGTTAAGGATGCTCAGGGAGTCGGACACCACAGAGAGAAAGGCCGGGCCATGTGGTGTAACGCAGATGGGTTTTTGGCCTGAGAGGGGTAGGCCAGCGTCATGGGAAAACGACAGCAGTTGAATGTAAATAGACTAAACGTTTCCGGTGCTAGCAACCTGTTTCTGCCGGCGCTTAGGGATTTGATGTTCCTAAGAAATGCTTGACGAATATGGAAGCACAGACAGGACCGAACATATCAAGGGAACATCCGAATCCCAGATATTTGTAAGTGCCGCCTTGCCAGGGGACGCGAATCAAAAGGTGCATTTTACAAAGTCTGAGCTTCTGCCAGACTAAAAGCGATCAAGAGCGACGCGCAGAAGAATCCTCCACCTCGTAGTGTCATTTCATACAATGCATCACAGATGCCATCATTACCACATCGCCACCAACCGCGCCTCATCAACGGGAAAGAAAGAGAGAAAAAGAGAGAGAGAGAGAGAGAGAGAGAGAGAGAGAGAGAGAGAGAGAGATATATATATATATATATATATATATATATATATATATATATATATATATATACAGACACAAACGCGTCATGAGATATGAGAAGCGTACAGGAGAGCAGCTGGAGCCTTGCCAAGGGCGGGGAGGTGACGGCAAAGGGTTGATAAAGTGCGCCCTGATAGTAAAAAGACCCGGAGAAAAGAAATCGCCGGGAATGATCCATGTCTTAATAAGAGCATAGTTATCTTTGATATTTGCTTTTTACCTGCTGTAACCGAATGAGAACCCAGAGGCTATTGTCAATGTCAATTCTACCTGAATTTTGTAATTAATAAACTGAAAATATCATGTTTTAGGCGACTACATGAAAAAATCGCCGGCACTCGTCATTTAACAATGGTCTGTGAACCCTTGCTAATCCGATAGAGCTCAGAAGCTTTCCCAGAATGTTCACTTCGCTTCTGCAGACATATCGAGGACCCTGCGAATGTAGACTGAGGATTGAAATGGGTCGGCAATCTGCATTAACATGGCCAAGCTATGGCTGTTTGTAAATGTTCATCATTCGGTCACAGCCCATTCATGATACAAATAACGTAGTTTTATGTGTTGTTTTTATAACGTAGTTTTACGGTAACGTAGTTTTAAGCGTGCGTTTTTGCAAATCTTTGAAACAAACACCTCGAAGACAGGCTTTGCAGTCTCCATAGGCCGCACGTCCCTTCTCCTGGCTCTCCAGCTATCCAAACGGGCCCTTGATCTTTGGTCTCGAGAGACCTTTCGGGTCCCTGTTCGGGCCCCCTCAAACACTGTTTCTGGCCGATTTGTACCAGCACAAATCGTGGTTACCGGCCTTGTATCTGCTTGGGAAATGGGCCCCCAGGGTTCAGAGTCATAGGGAGCCAACAGTTTGGTTTTCGTGGTCGCTGGCCGACTCAGACACCCGCATTGTCTCAGGGGATAGTCAAACAATGCAAGAGGACCTCTGACTGATATTTCAGGTGACGACCCTACGGGCCGCGATTTTTTATGCTGCCTACAGCCAGTTCTTCGGGTCCGTATGCCCTCCAACCGGGCCCATGGTCGTCGGTTTCAATGGGCCTCCCGGGCCCCTCCTTGGGTTTCGTCGCACACTGCCTTTGGTCGGCTCAGCGTCCCTTGCGAGGCCAGGACCTTCTGTTAAGCTCTATGGGCCCCTGACAGATGCAGAGAGCCGGGTCAGTGTAAATCACTGAACTCGGCTCTGTAGCTGACTGGGAAGTAAATCCTCAGGCCCACACCGACACCGAGCCGACTGTAGGATACTGGTGGTGCCTGGCCGCCATACAGACCCTTATCGACTCAGGGGTCCTTGATCAGCGCGCATGGTTCTCTAGCTGGCAATAAGTTTCCAGCCCAGCGGGACGGGGCCACAGAACACGGTATCCGACCGACCACTCGACCATCTCGTAACGAAGTGGCAGCTCTTACTCATACCGCAGAGGGCGGAAAGCGCTCACGCGTCTCGCATGGGAATGACAGCTCTCTTCCATCTCGCAGAGGAATGAAAACAATTCACCAATCTCGCAGAGGAAGGATACGCTCAATCATCCCGCCGCGTAAAGAAGAGCAGGTCTCACCCACAGCACACGGAAAGGACACCCCCACCCACCTAGAAGAGGAGAGAGAGCGCTTATTCACCTCGCAAAGAGAGGTTAGCACTCACTCTTATCGCAGAAAAGGATACATTCAGCCATCATACAGAGGAAGGATATATTCACCTGTACCGCAAAGAAAAGACGCATTCACCACCACATAGAGGCAGAACACGTTCACCTTACAGCAGACGAGGGACACATTCGCCCATATCGCAGAGGAAAAATACACTCAACTATATTGTAGAGCAAGGAAACATTCACCCATATCGCACAGAATGAGCAGCACTCACCTCACAGAAGGAGGACACATTCACCCATGTTGCAGAGAAAACGTACATCTATCCGTTACACAGAGAAAAGATGTATTAACCCCTATCGCAGAGAAAGGGCAGCACTTACCCATCTCACAGAGGAAGGGCAAGTGGAGGTCGCAGCGTCCGGAGACGACGCGCCGCTCCACGAAGTAGCTGCAGCCGCGGACGATGTCCAGGTGCTGCATCCAGATGCGGTCGAGGCGCCAGTTGTAGGCTGACTGCTGGCCGCGGACGAAGCGCACCAGCTGGCCGGTGTTGCGCTGCAGGTACGGCATCGAGGCGTTGTCCACCTGCGGCCGAGGTGGGCTGGCGTCAGCACCTATCGTTGCCCGGCTCATGCGCTCAGTCGGGCACGCTCACGAGCGTTCAGTTCAGCATGGTTGGGCCGAATCAGAGGCTGCGCATCTCAGGCGCTGTCAGAGGTGCTATGGAACGTTTTTCATTACCAGCAGGTGTTTGTGCACCCAACGATGTTGAAAATGTTGTGGAAACAGTTGCTCGTCTAGCACGTTAAAACGCTAGCAATCCTAGCATATGCTTTACTAACAGGACGTCGATATTCTCTACACAAAACCAACGACCATCGTTACTTTTAGTACAACGCTGATTTTTACGAGTGACCTAAAGTAAGTAAGCTTGTGCATGCTTTTACAATGCATAACTTGCTTTCATTGCTACACTTGCATCAGTGTCTGAAAGCATCTAACCTGGTAACGCATCAGTTGAAAGGGAATACCTGTGTTTGAAACTGTATGATGATGCGCTGTTAAAGTCTTTGAAAGCCGCGTGCTTAGTGGCTCCATCAGCATAGTGTTTTCCTGGGGGCATTTTGTTCTGCGTCACCCTCCACGCTGTGTCTATGCTGGCCAGCAGCGGCCACCTACCTGACAGAACTGTCGCGCTTCCGAGAAGTTCATCGGCGCTGGCACGTACATGAAGCAAGTGGTGTCCACGAGCGTCCAGCCGGGCGGGCACTTGTCGCTCAGCAGCGAGAAATTGTTCATGTGGAAGCGGCTGTAGGCGACACCAGGCAACGTTGGAGGCGGGTCGTAGGCTTTCAGCAGTGCAGCCGGGCTGCCTTCGGTTCACTGAACGCCTTAGCCTACGTGACGTGACGGTGATATGTGTACTTGCTACACTAGTGTGAAACAAAACTGGAATACCAGGTCAAAATAACCTTAGGCACCGGATGACGTAATGGTGACCAGCAGCAGGATAATCCATCTAGGGAGGGTGGATCGTATGACCTCAAACCCCAACTGCAGCTCAAACCTCCTAACGCCGATAGTGTATGAATGCCTTTCTACATTAGAAGGAGAGGGGAGGAGGCATGTGCAACAGGCAGACGCACCTAAAATCGACTCGAAGTAGTCCGTGCTCGTCCAGCTTGTCCCTGATGCGTCCCTGGATGGCGAGCGATTCGTTGTAGCCCCACCAGTTGCGACGAGCGTCCAGCGGGGTTATCCACATCTCATACCTAGGGGCCGGGCCGCGGCGGCGGGGGAAGGGGGTCAGCCTCAGGCCAGGGCTCACCCGAGCAGTGATCATTCGAGTCGGGACGGAGGTCATAGCAAATAACAGGGCAGAGGTCAGGACAGATGTCCAGTGAGGGTTAAGAAAGGTATACATATATATATATATATATATATATATATATATATATATATATATATATATATCAGACGAGAGGCCAGAACGGATATCAGGGTAGACGTTGGAGAACTGGCATTGGAACAGAGTTCAGACAGAGCGGATATCAGGTAACGTAATAGGACACGCATCAGCGGTGAAATAAAGACAAATACGATGGAGGAGGTCTCGGCAGACATCAGGATAAATCCAGAGAAAATGTCAGTACGTTTTTCAGGTAAAGAGACCACGACAGATATTGTGGCGGTGGTCGGAACAGGCATCGGGGCACGGTTCGGGGCGGATGTCAGGACGGAGGTTAAGTTAAGTATGGGGTCAAGGTTGAGGCGTCAAGGCAGAGGTTAGCAGGGACATCAGGTCTGAGTTCAGAGGAAAAGTATCACGTAGGTTAGAACGTAGGTCAAGATAGGATTCAGAACACAGGTGGCGCAAGCCCAAGACTAGGCAGGGAGCCGCAGAAAACAGAACATGAGCCAGGGCGCCAATCCCAGGTGCCTGTTCAGGCGCGCCACACGTGACATAGTGCAAAAGCCGGCCCAATGATCTCCACTTCAGACATTAAAGAACGTGATTCCGATTCAGTGACAGGCAAATAGATGACGCAACTACTGAATGCTCTTTGGGGACTGGAGAACGGCTTGGTCCTAACGGTGGAAATGCAGCCGAATTAAGGTAATGTGACTGATAAAATAGCTGTGTAAAACCCGGGCCTGTTACGTTGCGTGGCACAATACATCAAAGCATGCGTTTGATAGTGAATGAAGTCATTTACCTGTAGTTGGATATTTTCAGGTCTTCTCTGCAAAGAAAACCGAATTGGTGAAAACACCTCTGCACCACAGCAGCTGCGTCAGAAAGGCATTCAGCAAACCACAATTCACCTCACCATGGACGTACCAACACTTCAGAAAGCGTTAGCGGGAGGTATGCCAATCTACTTACATGCAGTGCCATCGGGTTAATGTAAAACATTCATAAGAAGTGGGAGGGCCATGACAGTTTGATCCCGCATATTCCTACGTGCACGCGCAACATGAACACGCATTCGCATCACATCACCATGGGGAAGATCAGAAGAATCTGCCGTACCTGTTTTTCAAGGATTTCATGATTGGTAAGGCCGGGCGTCCTCAAAAGCCTTCAGTTACCAGCGAAAGGATGTGTGTTGAGACACCGCGTTGTCTCATGATATAAACCGTTTCAGCAGAGAACTACGATGACGCCGCTAGGATATTTAAGTCATCCGCGAGATTGCAAAGTTCTGGGCGGCGCGCCCGGAGACGGTGGTGCGCCGCGCGGTCGCCGCCACATTGTGTTCGCAAAAGGGCCAGGCCATGCGCGCCTGCGACGCCGTCTGTTGCACATCATGCGCTGTAAGTCGCAAGGAACGAACTCATCGCATGTGGTGGGCCGCACATGTCCTTCAACGGGACCTCGATAGTACTTATCTTTGAATAAACCCCACTTTGTTTGTCGTGGGTAGGGAGCGGTCAATTTCTTTTCGCCTATGGTGGTACGAATTATACATTTTGGCGTGGAGTCAATGTAACAAGACATGTTGCAAGGGATAAGTCTATTGGAACACATGAAGCAACATGAAATCTTAAAATGACCTAACTTTATTTGCTGTTTTGCACGACTGAAATACATAGGTTATCATGGGGCTGTGATATGCAGGGTTATGCGTACCTGCACAACTATTACCTAGTATTTAGGTGTGTTGTGGCAGCGTACTGCCTGCACCTGAAGTGGATCTAAATGGGACAGCGCCTGTTATCACAATGAGCGATTTTGTATTTCCACTCGTGCTCATCGTGCAATGTGGAAGGGCCTGCCGTTTGTAACATTTCAAAGTTCGTGGCTGACTTGCGTGCTGTTTGCCCACGTAACTTGTTCATGCATCAGCGGAGCTTGTGCTTCATGGGGTGTCTGGTGGCTTACATGACAGTCTCAAATGCGTGCACTTGGGGAACATCATAAATATCCAATCAATGGGTGCATCAAAACCTTAAGAATTACGAATAAAAACGAGAACCTCGTGCTCAAAGACTAAGAACCCGAAAGGCTATTCTTGTTCCTATAGTCGAGAACTTGAGCGATCTTTGCGACAGCCGGGCGCCCAAGAAAGCTGATAACACAGGGATCATGTGCGGCCTCGAATGGGTTTAATGGAGCGGTAGGCACCCGCAGAAGGACTGTAGCACGTATGCGTCCTGAAACAATCACGCAAAATGTGATCTGCTTTAGACGGGAACGACGTGATCCGCGGAAGCCAACAACGTCTTATGTATTGCTGTGATACCATGAACTATATCCGTGGCATCTTACTGCATGAAGCGAGTCCGCTTCATCGAGGTCGATAACGTCGCCCCCGGAACTAGCGAACTGTTTCGTCAAAATACATTCGACCATACGAGACCGAGACTAATAGCACTCGGAACACTTGGTGTGCTCACCACGGCTCCCCTCGTGCGCTCACTGTGTGCGGTTGATGGTGGTCATCTCGTAGTCGTTGTCCGGGTTCACGAACACGTTGTCGACGTAGCGCTGACCGGCGCTGCTCACCACTATGGTGGTGCGATTCTCCTCGTCTGTGGCGAAGTTCCTGGTGGTGCCAACAGACAGCAATAAGCGTCAGAACGCAGTCGAATCATGCAGGGCACGCCATGCTACGAAGGTCAGGGCCGCGAGGGGAGTGCGGAAAATCACACAGATGAAAAGGAGGACGCTGAAGGTTGCATTTCACACACACAGAAGAAACCGAATGTTGCATTTCATGGCGCAAGTACCATCGCATCCCAGATGGTATTGTTCACGTGTGTTCATCTTTCATATTTATTTAAGACACTAGAACGGCATTGCGCGATGCACAAGTTGCTTTTTGCAAGTACCGTTTGTTTTGGGGGTGAGTGCTCTGAGTGCTCCATTTCAGTCGCGTCAAACAGTGCGCCCGCTATGAGATTTGTACCCAGTGCCGCTGAGTTATGAGTCCAACATTTCTGAATAGGAGATAACCTCGGCTGAAATATGAGGTAGCCAACGCAGATAGAAGGGGGGGGGGGCATTGCTGTGGAAAATACCTGAAACCTTTACCTTACGCTCTCCCCACCAACACAAACAATATGGCTGTTCACATTGCATCATGTTATCCTAAAAATTGTCTTCGTAGTATTTGCTCAAGAGCTTATGGAGACTGCCATCGCCAGCTACCGCATGTCCAACTTGAGAGTTTCACTTCAGTTAAGATCCACATATCTGTTATGTATTGACGGTGCTGCAGGGGCACTACTTAATGTTATTATTGACGTCTTACTAGTCATGAGGTTTTCCTAGAGTGTTTTTGAAATAGGTCCAAGGGTGGGACACACCATTTACGAGACTATGTGCCGGCCTCCCAGGCAAAGTCCAAGTGATCTGCCACGCAAACTAGCTTGAAGACGGTTGACAAGGTGCTAGTGGCCGATTCTGCGACCCCGCGGAGTCAGTGACCGATGGGTCGCAGACCCCGCGGAGTCAGTGACCGATGGGTCGTGTAGAGACGGCAACGACTGGCAGCGGTGGCCACGTTCTAGCCACCACAGTAAAAGTGAATGGTAAGGCGGTAACAAGACCGATGGTCAAGCTCATTCACATTGATTCAACCCAGTAGAGTAGTTAAGTGTAACAGAACGAAATGAGAACCATTATCACCGTCGAACACAAGCGCTGCCGTATGCGTCACAGCACGTCAGTCGCCAGCAACACTTACTCGAAGAACCCGTTGCGTGAAAAGCTCTGGTAGATAGGTAAATGCACCCGCTCGAATCCAGTGACTTTCATAATATGAAAACCCCAGTTGTTGAAGACGAGGTTTTGAGTGAAATTTGCGATCACCTGCAAAAAAGTCAAGATCTGAGTCAACATTGAGTATATTAGATCTATACGTGCTCCTTTGTCCCGGGCATGAACTGAAACGATAGTTTTACAAGCAGTACTGGAGCAATACTTTAAGAAGTACCTCCTAATCCACGAATGCAGTTAGGCTACCCTGGACGGTTTTAAACAACGGGACCGTGTGGCCGTTTACAGGGTCAGTTTTAAACTTTTAAATGCCAACGTTTCGCAACTTAAAGGCTGCATTACAAGCAGGCCAACGCTGCGCGCGGGTCCGTAGCACGCTCGCGCCTCCCGCCGCGCAGGCAAACGGACCTGCGAGAACTCCAGCACGTTCTGGTAGGAGCAGTTGGCGCGTGTGAAGTAATTGCGGTAGACGATAGCCTCCTGGTTGGGCGAGATGCGCCGGCCCTCTACCAGCAGCGACGGCAGGTCCACGTTGTCGCTGAACAGGTTGAAGCTGATGTACGCCTTGAGAGAGGTCGCCAGTCCACTGGAATCGGCCCGCACGCGCAGGCCACCCTGGTTGTACCGCACCAGGTTGTTCTGTCGGCAACCCGACAAACGCCTGGCACACACGCCAGTATCCCTGATTACGGCGGTCCGCGGCCCGTTCACATGAGCGCGCGAGCTTCCGTCGACGGTTGGATCCGGTAACGTCATGATGCATTCTAATTTGGAAGTCTCCACCAAAGATGTTGGTAATTTAATTGTAGAAATGTGTTTAACTGTGTTGGGTATGTGATAAAGCCTCATGGCGCACACCACTCGGAGCCGCCTAATGCCTGCGCCGAAAACACAAGCAATGAAGAAAATCATTTCCAGCCCACGGATACGCACCTTTGACCTTTTAGTCAGACATGAGTACGGGAAACATTAGTAACTGATGTTGGTATGGTATGGTATGGTATGGTATGAACTGTTCATACTATACCATGCTTCAACAAGCCGGTCCACGCCAGGCCAACCCGACTTATTCATCTAGCGAGTTGCCAGGTGGACTTGCGCACCACTCGCGGCAGACAACACACACGTACCGTGCCGGGTGACGCGTCCAATATCACAGGGAAGCAAATGGTGACGCAAACTTTAATATAGGTAAAGACATGCTTTACTTCTCGTGGTAGAGCCAAGCAAAACAGCATGGAGGTACTGCTTGGACAAGACACGTATCCGTGTAGTCCGACCTAGACCTCGTCCGACCAAGGCAAGTATTCGATGTTAGCGCCAAAGCATCCGTATAGACCGACGTAGGACAGTTTTCGTGCCGCATTTTACTATACACGAGACAAAAAGATAGATGCTAACATCGAATACTTGGGCCGTTTGCAACGACGTCGACGATCGTTCGGCAGTCCGCTGTCATCGCTCACTGTGAAGAAGAGGTACTGCATATTCTGAACGTCCATGTTGACTGCTGCCGGGGTGGTGCTAAAGTTGCCAAAAAGCCGGCGGCCGTTGTTGGTGATGCGGTTCCATTCGAGCGTCACTACGGGGCTGATCTCGCCGGCGCTGACGTAGGAGACGCCCCCGTCCACGTTCCCCGATATTGACGAGAATGATATGTTGTGACGGACCTCCCGGCCTGCCAACCATAAGGTGCCATGACTGCGGCGAAACATGAAGGCGAACCTCTCGACCTTCCCACCGCACGACATCATGGCCGTGACGAACCTCCCGACCTTCTAACCGCATAACATCGTGCAAGGTACTAAAGCTGGCGAATGTCACGCGTGTCATGGGCAATCTAGACAGACTAGGCGCAGCCTTAACGCCGTCGGGTGGGGGGGGAATCAATTTGCCCCTTCCCAAAGGCTTTCCCACAATGATTTAGGAACGGCGCGGCGTAGTCTCACCACACTTTCCATAGCTTTAGCCAATTAAGTAGCAGATCGTTTGGTGTAAATAATCAGATGTACCTTGTAAGGTCGCTGACCTATGGTAGGTCAAAACTAGGCCATGGCTGTCATCGAAGATCGTTTCTAGGGAATCGTTCAGTCTGATGCGACAACAGAGTGTTGTGCGAAGCCATACATCTCTGAAATAGTTTCCTACGCTGTACAACAATCAAATTTATAATTGAAGCGAATCCCATTGGCCTAATATCACGTTTAAAGGTCAGATCGAGGACAGAAGCGAGAGCAGGGAGCTGAGCCGCCAACCCTGAGAGCCGTCTGGGCGCCGGTCAGGCGGGACACCGTCGCCACTCACTGAAGCCGATGGCCGAGACGGGCAGCGTGACGACCTCAGCCACGAAGCCGTTGGTCCGGCTGCCGCCGGCGGCGTGTAGCTGCACGCTCAGCGTCGTCAGGTTAGTGGTGAAGAAGGTGGTGGCATCGCCGCTGCCCACGGACAGCTGCGCCATCAGCCGGGAAGTGATGTTCCAGATGTCGCCATCGTACAGGCGAATGTGGTCCGGGGTCAGGTGCGGCTCGTCGGTAGTATTAACCAGGTGGAACTGCAGCAGACTGCCGCCGGCGCGACACGCATCATGACGCGGCCTTCACGAAACATCGTGCTAAACGTTCACACTCCATGCATGTGGGCCTGGGGTGTGAGCATATATATATATATATATATATATATATATATATATATATATATATATATATATATATATATATATATATATATATATATATATATAGTATATATATATAGTTATATATATATATATATGTATATCTCTCTCTCTCTCTCTCTCTCTCTCTCTCTCTCTCTCCTCTCTCTCTCTCCTCTCTCTTCTCTCTCTCTCTCTCTCTCTCTCTTCTCTCTCTCTCTCTCTCTCTCTCTCTCTCTCTCTCTCTCTCTTCTCTCTCTCTCTCTCTCTCTCTCTCTCTCTCCTCTCTCTCTCTCTCTCTCTCTCTCTCTCTCTCTCTCTCTCTCTCTCTCTCTCTCTCTCTCTCTCTCTCTCTCTCTCTCTCTCTCTCTCTCTTCGCATATACACTCGCACAACGGAGAAGGCGGTAAGCCGGCTGTACTTGACGTTTAAACAGATCACAGGTGAAATGACAATCATTGTCTCAAAGCATGTCTAACACTGTGATGCTCTTTCAAAAGATAAGTGCCGTGTCTCTTAGCCATGTTTGTGCAATCTTCTTCGGTCTTGCATTGATTGGGAAGAAACCGCTGGTATTCCGCCCGTGACTTTTTTAAAACGATAGCTGCAGGGCGTTCCACCTGTCTTTCTGGCACTTTTATTACCTCATCCGCATACATTTTGTAGATTCTCTGAATTTGTGGGACTTCATGATGCCAGGTCCATGGCCTAAAACAGTTTTACCTAGGCTACGTCGGCCCGAAGCGTGGTGAAATGCGTCATTGGCTTGAAATGCGTTATATTGTGATAGCACTTTTGCCTATCTCTTGTGCACAACGTTGTCACTACATGAGTTCCAAATCGGGGCCTGATCCTATCATAGGTTACTGACCAAAGATAGCCCTTTAAAACGTTTTCAGCCAAAAATGACCAAATTTCAGGGCTGTGGAATCAAGTAGAGATATGAACAATGGAGTAATACCGTGACCATCGTGGGAGACCTGCGCTAACGAGCCTCGTCGCGCACCGGGTAAGGCTTTGGTGTTCATGTGGGCGCGCGCGGGGTTCGTGCGGTGTTTGGTGTTAATGTAGGCCGCTGGAGTGGGGCTTCCGACAGGGCGGTACTCGAACAAGCTTCGTGGCTGACGGCATGTGTCACGTTTGGGTGCTGGGCCGGGATCCCGGGAGGCTGGTACTCGGGCGAGCTCATGGCCAGCGGCATGTGTCACATTTTGGCGTTGGGCCGGGCCGCCGGCAGGCCGGTCGGTACTCTGGCAAGCTCATGGTTGACAGCATGTGAGGGCGCTGGAGTGAGGCTGCCGGCAGGCCGGTCGGTACTCGGGCAAGCTCGTGGCAGACGGCAGCAGCTTGTCCTGGTGAGGCTAAGGGAAGGTAGCACGGGCTTCAGCATGAAGCGGAGGACTGGGCTGGGGAGAGAAGGGTGACGAAATGGTGCGTCGATTTTCTTTTTCTTTTAATTGCACAGTGTCGCTCCTTCACTTGAGAATGGCATTCTCATAGCGAAGGGGTGTCACGGGCCGCGCTCCAAGGTCGCGTTTGGGCTTAATTTGTACAGCACGTGCAGTTTGAGCATACCTTTGCCGTTTTAATTCGTCTGTAGGTGTGCCATTGTCACTTTCATGTCTGCATGTGACGTTTTCCTACTGTAGGTCATCATCGGTCACTAAACTAGTTTGTTCCTGAAGTTTAACGGTCTTGAAAAGTAAGTGGCCGGGCTTGAACGCCACAAATATATAATTATCGGATGAACACAGTATTCTGGCATACCAAATCGTTCAGATAATGAAATATTGAAACAACAGCAGTGATTTGTGAGTAGACTACAGCAAAATTAGAAAACAAAGTATGGATGAGGTGTCATAACTAACATAACGATCACTTTGGTCTCAAATTAGGAAAGTACCTGACAATCATTTGGGCAGAATTACATAAGCTGGTTTACGACGTTTCATTTCAGCATCTTCATCTCTATTCTGTTTACCTCAATTCTCTATAAGCAGGAGAGCTGGTGTCTGCGCTCTCCTCCCTCTGCCTTTAGTTATAAGCTTCCGGAGGGCTCCGTCAGTGCAAAAGTTGACTGAACTTCCCACGGTACTGACCGGAGCCCCGTCAGTGCAAGGGTTGGTGAGTCCCTGGCGGCGCTTTTCAGAGCTCCGTCAGTGCAAGGCTTTAGTGAACCTCCGACGGTACTGACCGGAGCTCCGTCACTGCCAGGGTTGTGTGAGGCTCCAGCGGTGCTTACCGGAGCTCTGTCAGTGACAGGGTTGAGTGAGTCTCCGCCAGGGTTGAGTGAGCCTCTGGCGGTGCTCACCGGAGTTCCGCCAGAGCAAAGGCTGGGTGAGCCCTCGGCGGTACTCACCGAAGCTCCGTCAGTGCAAGGGTTGACAGAGTCTCCGGCGGTGCTCATCAGAGCTCCGTCAGTGCAAGGGTTGACAGAGTCTCCGGCGGTGCTCATCAGAGCTCCGTCAGTGCAAGGGTTGACTGAGACTCCAGAGGTACTCACCGGAATCCAACCGTCTTAACCTCTCCGGCCGATTTGAATATCTTGACGCAGTCTACGGGCTGATCGTCGTACTTGTAGTAGAGCAGCAGTCTCTCTTTCAGCACGACTTCTTTCTGAGCATCGCATATGTCCAGCATGCCTGGCCATCAGACGGTTCGTGATGGCAACGAATGTTTGGGTGAGAATCGAGAGGTATAGTATGAAGCAAAAGCAACGTTTAAAATACAGTTTTACCTTGAACTCTTATTGTTTGAGCAAAAACTTCGTTCAAAAACATGGCCTCTAACAGCAATTAAAAGACTTTCAGTTGGCACCCACCGAACAAGTTGTAGGGGAGTGGCACCTGCTCCAGCGGCTGGAAGGAGCTGTATTCCGAGCTACGCGCCTCGCCGGTGAGCATAATGGTGTTGACGCCGATGCCGAGGCTGTCCTGCACACTGCGGCGGGGTCAGGCAGCGTAAGCGGGGCCGCCAGCTCCCGCATCCACCACCCGCTCCCGCAGCTCCCAGGGCCGATCAGAGGACATGAATGCTGACGGACGAGTGGCCAGCAGGACCGCCGGGGTCTCTAGCTCCCAGTGCCGATCAGAGGCCATGGGTGCTGACGGACGCCGCCAGGTGTGAGGCGCCTCACAGTGCATAGTCATGGAACGGAGCACAAGCGTTACTCCCAACTCAGAATCGCTTGTTTGGTAAATGTGACCAAGCTAACGTTGTCAGCAGGCCGTGAAATGCGCCGGTTCCGGTGTTAGCCGCTCGGCAACGCGGCTTACCAGACAGCAAGAGAATAAAGGCATTGGTGCTATCACGGTGTGCTATATATTAGTGCTATCGACAGGTTACTGTGTTTAGCACTTAGTGAGGAAGGCTCAGAGGTTGAGTGCTGCACTCAGTTGTCTGAGGTGTAGCAACTCCAGCGATCGGGGAAGACTGACCTGAGGTGTAGCAGCTCTATCGAGCGGGGAGGACTGACAGCCGTCACGCCGTCGCCCAGACTCCGCTGCACGTGCACGGCGCGCACGTCCGGCGCACGCAGCACGGACAGCACGGCCGGAGACATCTGGCCGTGCAGTCTGCCGGCGTCTAATACATCCACAAAGCGTAGCACCGAGCGGCGGTCGTCGGCAACGTGCTCCGGCAGACTGGCCGTCTCCAGCAGACCGGCCGCAAACCGGACGCCGCCCCAGGCGCCAGCAACGTCGGCCGCGTTCGGCGCGACGCAGTCGACGAACACGAACTGGTCCCGCCAGTCGCAACGGTACACATAGTCGTCCTGGCGTCCTGTCTCGCGCGGTGCACAGTCGGCCAGCCGGCTCTCGCTGCCGGCGCAGCGCTGCGGTGCCGGCCACGACGAGATCCAATTCAGCGACAGCTCGTGGTATTCCACCCGCGGTCCGTGCGCCACGTGGGCGCTGACGTCGCTGAGGCCCAGCTGGCGGCAGATCACCTCGGCGTTGCGTTCGGAGAACCGCCAGTCGCACACGGGCACCCACTGCACGGTGGTGGCGTTGAAGAGCTCGAGGAAGCCGCCGGTGGCCGAGCAGTTGCCGGCGGCGCAGAGCCGGACAGATACAGTTCGGGCCTCCTCAGAGCGGCTCAGCTCGGTCGGGCGCGCCCCCGGAGCGTAGCGAGCTCGTCCCTGCCGGTCGAGGTCCGGGTCTGGTGCCGCCTGCCGCGCGGCCGGCTCGGGCGTCGCCGGACGCCGGCCGCCGGTCAGCGGACGCAGCACAATGCGACGCTCCTCGTCGCCCATCGCCAGCAGGCGACCCAGCACCAGCAGGCCGACCGACGGAGCGAACTCGAGCTTCACGCCCGGCTCCAGCCGCAGTGTAGTGCCCGGCATAACAGTCAGGTCTGATCGCACCACGTACGGCTCCGCGCGCCATCTGTGGACAAAACACCATACCAGTAATTTTGTCTCCCTAGCCTAGCAGGGACATCCATCTTATCGCAGTTGAGTAGGTAGAATGATGTTTTAACAACAGCGTGGGGGTGCAACACATTACAGTGAATTAGCTACTTGCAGTGTGGATATATATTAATTCAACTTGCAAACATACGTGGGTCAAAATGGCCTCGGATGTATTTCATGCAAAACGTCATTTCAGCGACCTGACGATGGAACGTTCGGCTGGTTTGTCAGCTGCGGTATTTAGAGCGAGGCCGTAAGCCGAGCGGGTCTTACTTGAACGAGAGGAAAATGTTTGACTTGAGCGGATCGGCCCGGCACAGCTCGGCACAGCCCCGCCCGGCCCAGCCCGGCTCAGCCCCGCCCGGGCCCGCCCGGCACGGCCCGGCCCCGCCCTGCACGGCCCGGCCCCGCCCGGAATGGCCCAGCCCCGTCCGGCCTGGTCCAGCCCCGCCTGGCTCGGCACAGCCTGGTCCAGCCCTGTCCGGCCCGGTCCAGCCCCGCCTGGCTCGGCACAGCCTGGTCCAGCCCTGTCCGGCCCGGTCCAGCCCCGCCCGGCCCGGCACAGCCCGGCCCAGCCCCGCCCAGCCCTACCCAGTTCGGCCGGCACGTTTTGTGGAAGATTACACCTTTGCAACTATTGATTGCAGATTCATGCAGCTTTCAGCAACAAGCAAAAAGCCTGACTCTTTAAAAAATGTGCCGAAAGTTATTAGACATTTGCATGCGAGCTATATGGTAATGATATTTTCCTGGAGCACTGTAATAATATGACGATTTCACCTCCTTCTCTGAAATACGTAAGAAAAAGGCAAAATTTTTCAGTTGCAGAAAAGCTGAAGAACACGAGTCGTAACCAATTCCAGATCTCGACGAACCAGATTCCCAATGGTACGAAACTAGCATATTCCTAACGGCAAAAAATGGTGGGTCTGCTTTGCTGACGTGGGCTGCAGACAATGCCATGCTCCGAAGCTAAACATATACATTGTGACGTAGCCTGTTTTAAGCGAAACAGTTTCACTGTCATTTCTGTAGGGTCATTTCTTCAGGTACTGAATTTCAGTACCTGAGATTATGCCGTCCATGGTCAAAACAGGCTGCAAGGTGCGTTAGCACTATTCCATGAAAGTTTCGGAAAATGAGCACAATCCCATGCTCGAAAGATATTCCACAGATATCAATGAAATATGCATCAGTCTATTAAGAATGATCGAATTACGGCTGAATTTACAATTGAAATTGCTTGCCTAGCCGCAGTCAAAATTGGACAGACTTGAAGCAGACGCATGTAAATTGGCACGAATTCTGCTTTATTCGACCTCTGACCTTTCATTTTCATGATGATAGACTTGCCAGCGTACTGCTGATAGCTGTAATCGCTAGTTGCCGGGGGTGTCTGGCTCCACTCGCTCAGCTTTTGGCATCATCCATGAAACCGCCGACAACATTAACATCTGTTATCGCCCCGCCTTCCTCGCCGTGAGCAATGTGCTCTACTGGTATGCATGATGCCCATTGGGTGCACGTTGCCAGCTGTCGAGCTTCGCTCGTAAAGGGATCTTTACATGTTACGGGTCTTCAGCACAGACAGCTGGTCGTTGGTGCACTAACCTGAGCGTTATGTTGCGCTGCAGCCGGCCGCCCAGCTTCTCCAGGTCGACCGGCGCGTCCTGTGTAAACTCTTGCTGCTGCGGCCCGTCCAGGTCGGCATTCATCAGGAACGGACTGAACGCCACGGACGTGAATCCGTTCCAGTCGTCGAAGTCGAAGATGCGCTGCCGGATGAGGCGCGGATCGGCCACCCCCCACCAGTTGCGCTGCGCGCGCATCTGGGCGCCTAGGCTGCAACGCCGGGTGGCGGCCAGCAGCACGTACTCCAGCCTGTTGTCGCCCAGCAGGTTGTCGGTGACGTTGACCGGCTGCAGGCCGCGCACGGCGATCACTTGACTGGGCCGGTCGGGCGCCGCCGGCTCGTTGAAGCGGATCTCGTTGCGCGTGACCTCAGCGCTGACGTTGCCCACGACTGCCGTCTGACCGTCGGCGCGCAGCTGCAGCATGAACGGCGCGCGGTTGCGCCGCATGGTGTTGCCCGTGACGAGCACCTCCTTCTCCATGCCGCTGACGGCGAGCACACCCTGGTCGGCCGCGTTGTCCAGGAAGTGGTTGCCGCGGATGACGACGCGCGCGAAGTGACCCTCGACGGCAGCGCGGAAATCTAGGTTGGAGACGAACTGGTTATCTGAGACGTAGACCGAGTGGGTGAAGTTCTCGTCGTACTGCCAGACGTACGGCAGGCTGATCTCCAGGCCGCCATGCTGGTTGGTCGACACGCTGTTGTTGTGCAGCACCCAATGGAACAGGTTGTTTGCCAGCCACAGATCCCTGGAAGAGCCACAGTGGTAAGACGGAGGTCGCGCACCGGTGCTGGAGGCACGAGAGTTACATTGTATCTCACTGGTAAAAGGCCCTAACAATCCCTTCCGCTTTGAGCACCTATCGGTGTACTCATAAAACTGCAGTAACATTGGAAATTAGTTACGAAACTGTGAGTGTGTTCAAGGTGAGTTCAGGTGTTCAAGGTGTTCAAAAAGTGAGTTCAAGGGTCATTGAAAATATTTGCAGAGAGAACGTTCGTAAAGCACACCGGGTGGCCGGTTGAATATTCTTCGCTCGAGTGGGGGATCAATTTGACCCCTTGAGGTCTCAAAACTAAGAGAACTGGAGTCACGAAACTCATTGGGTGGATTGGCCTGTAAGTGAGCTCATTTTGTGAAATTTGAGGTTCCTAAGTTTCGACCTTCAGATCAAATAAGTTCAAATAGGGTAGAATTCCAGACTGGTGTTCAAAGTGGCCCCAGACCTCCTCATAATTTGACCGACCGCCTTGAACCTAAACACTTGTTCTAAACAGAAGGCTACTTGTGCTTATTTAAGGCCAGTGACCTTACCTGATCTTTGGAAAGTCATGGTGGCCAAAATCATACAAGACTGTTTGGAATTTTTGCCTATCAATAAGAGCCAATAATCGCACTAGGCGATGTGTTCCAAAAAACAAAATGTTGACTAGGGCCTTTTAGGTCGGTGACCTACTGTGACATTTAATCAGTTCGTGGACGATGTTTGATGTCGCCCATTTCATTAATTGGCTTAGACCTCGATCTGACCTTTATAACTGACTCAATGAACTTTGTCGGAATCCTAAATGCAGTTGTTTTATTATATAAGGGTCTATCTCATGGATGCATGGCTTCGTTTAACACTCCGTTGTCGCATCAGATTAAATATTTATAAAAATCGCCTTCACTGACAGCCACGGCCTGACTTTCATCTGGCATATGTCAGCGACCTCCATAGGAGGCATCTATTTTTGCACCAAAAGATCCGCTATTTAGTTGCCTACAGCAATACAAAGTTAAGCGCGGCTACGTAGCGCCACCCGGGAAATATTCCGTAAAAAACCTAAGGGGGGGGGGCCAATTGCCCCTCACGCGAGCGTGGGTTAAAGGTTAAAGCACTGAGAAAGCGTTACCGTTGAAGGCAAATGCTGTAAACACGTGGGATTGGTTAACATGGTACAGGACAACAGAATATGCTCTTGGTCCATTCAGCACAGAGAGTAGGATAAAGTGCCCTGATCACGCCACCCTGCATAATTGCGCCACTCCCCTATACTCTCTTCAGAGCAGGAATATATGCACTCAGAAAAATAGTTTGGTAGAGGACGATCCTTGATTAGCCGGGACCGCTCGCTTACACTTGGTTCAGCGTTGCATATGTCTCAGGCAAGGTCTTCAAGTTTTGTCTTGTTTGCATAGTACCTTCAGGGTTTTCAACTGCCTCCTGAGCCACTTCTCCCTGTGACTCGTCAGCACGCCATTTAAGGCTCAGTTTTGTCAACAGTTCAACAGGTTTCGCCGGATTTACGTTGGTTTCCGAGTGCTGATAATTTCTACACTGCCACTATACGACTGATGGCATATTCCTATTTGTGCCAGTACTGAAAGGTCTGTATTGCGCTAGTGCGGTGCCATTAAGGCATAGTGGCACAAGTGCATTAGGTGACGCTCACTGCTGAGTACCAGTGGTTATGTGCAGTGATGTAGTAGTGGTGTCCCGCATATTCGTCATAATCATGCGTCACATATATCGCCGACGATGTGGAACCCCGTGCGTGGGCACCAAGTCAAGATGGCAGGCATACTTCGTCACACATCGCATCGGCTACAACCGCTATATGTGGAATTCACCAACGCTTATCAATGAAATATTTTTGAGATATGCCACCAGTAGCTATGCAGTAGCCAAGATCAAGGGATCGCGTTGTACGAATGGAGTAAGCTCAGTGAAATTATGTTCTTGGAGGCTCGTCGACGTAGAGGGCTTCAGAGTCAGGGACTGAATATCCCCGTTTCACGACCTATTCGCCGAAGATTACTTCCGGAATGTGCCGAACGGTGATTTGTCGTGATGATTCATATATGAATACCAACAACTCAGGGGTTACGCGGGCACTGGTAATGGACAGGGAGGTGATGCGGTGGACCTGACGACCGGTGGAGATGCGGGTGGAACGGGACATGTTACGCCCGCACGTGACCAACACAAGTGATCATGTACCCTGGGGCATGTCACGCCCGCACGTGACCAACACAAGTGATCATGTACCCTGGGGCATGTCACGCCCGCACGTGACCAACACAAGTGATCATGTACCCTGGGGCATGTCACGCCCGCACGTGACCAACACAAGTGATCATGTACCCTGGGGCATGTCACGCCCGCACGTGACCAACACAAGTGATCATGTACCCTGGGGTATGTCACGCCCGCACGTGACCAACACAAGTGATCATGTACCCTGGGGCATGTCACGCCTGCACGTGACCAACACAAGTGATCATGTACCCTGGGGCATGTCACGCCCGCACGTGACCAACACAAGTGATCATGTACCCTGGGGCATGTCACGCCCGCACGTGACCAACACAAGTGATCATGTACCCTGGGGCATGTCACGCCCGCACGTGACCAACACAAGTGATCATGTACCCTGGGGCATGTCACGCCCGCACGTGACCAACACAAGTGATCATGTACCCTGAGGCATGTCACGCCCGCACGTGACCAACACAAGTGATCATGTACCCTGGGGCATGCCCCACACACCGAAATATAATGAAATCAAATGAGACTAGTGCGAGTCTCCAAAGAGAGAGATTCCATAGCCGATGAACTGACCGAAGAGGAGACCATTGAAACCGTAGGCGTAGCCACTGGGGGTCAGCAGCTAGGAGGAAGGATTCCCCCTAATTGTCACGAGATGGGATTTTTCCCCCAGTGCTGCTTAAATAATGCATATTTTTCACTTTATCTCATTAAGGATGGCATTTCAGGTCAGATTGTCTCCCAGATTTCAGTTTGACCCCTCCATTGCTGATTTGTTTCCAATTTCGGAGGCATGGTTGCCACATGATCGCATGATTGTTTTGTCACGCCGAAGCCAACTTAAGTAGAAGAAAGCGCCAAAGCCGGTGTTAAAAAGCTATGATCCTGTCAGCATCTCCAATAAAGGAGAAATGAAGTATAAATGTCCTTTGTGACGAACCTCAAAGCTAAGCCGACCGTTGAGAGTCGCAAAAGGAAGGAGATAAGCCCTAATGCACGAGCGAAGAGCCGCTGCTTCACGAGTTATATCTGTATCATGTGTGGTGAACGGGTGGCGATACATAGCAAGGTATGTTTACAGTGTGTTAAGTGTGATGGGTGGTCTCACGATATCTGTTCAGACGCCGTTCACCAGCCGGGTACGCGAGCAACGAGGGGAGACATATATGGAGTAATTAGTGATACGCGTTTAAAACACTACTGGCATAAGTAAACCAGTAGCAGCACTCACATGATAAATATTGAGAAAATAAAAGCTTTTTCAGTCATCTGTAAGCAGGCTTACAGGGGATGGGTATGCGATGCAGTTGAGGCTATACAGAAACGCATTAAGCCCAGAGATGTACTGAATTTTGAAGCATTTACAAGGTCTACAATTAAAAATAGCTTTCATCCTACTTAACTTGGGTGCCGATAGAAAAAGGTAAAAAAAAATAGAGCAGACAGACTTTAAGAATGTATTGTAATAGCTCCAATGGTTTCCTGGCTATATCGCTTCTCCATCAAGATGGCGCAATAGAGTATCTTCCGCATCTGGGTTACTACGAGCACACAATTCGACAATTTGTTATGCTCTATTTTCAAATTCAAGAGCGGCCGGGACTCTAAGCGACACCAACAAACAGATATGGCCAAGCAGCACGAACTCTCCCATGAGTATGAACCCTACCAACAGCGCGCTAGATGGCAGCCTACTACGGAACTGGTGCTGGACAAGCACCAACCAATCCGCTGTACTGCGTCGCTGTTAGGCCGTGGCGGTATCAACAAGATGGACTTCATCTAATGCGTCAATGCCTTCGTCTACGCTTGTTTCGCTGCTTGATAGCGCAATAAATGACGTACTTGTAATCAAACAAAATATCATGTCACATACGATTAGACCGCGATAAATTCGTGCAGAGATTGCGAGGAAATGCACTGGATGCAAGTGGAAATACCGAAGTAAGCTTTACTGAGCAAAAGTTTTGCGGTACTTGGTACAGTTTGATTTTGAAACCCTACAAATACTCATCCAAACCAAAGAAGCTTGTTTTGCAGCCCGAGTTAGACATGTCTTTATCTACGTGTCTCGTTGAATGTCAACTTTAAAGACTACCTACAAATGATGGTATCGTGATAATTCAATCACTATGAGGCACCACTGTGCCTGGTAAAGCCAAGAACACAGAGTGAGCACTGTTGGCGACATGAAGACACTACGCTTGACGTCACGTGCACCAGACTGGGCGTGGGGATGATGTTTGACCGGTGCCCTTACTTGGTGACCTGCCGTAGGGTTGCTGTTTGGCCGGCGCCCTCACCTGATGACCTGCCGTAAGGGTGCTGTTTGACCGGTGCTCTCACCTGGTGACCTGCCGGATGCCAGCACCGTTGCCGCCTGATTTTCGTGTTGTTTATCATGACGGTGACCTCAGATATATTTTGTGAGGTGATCTCCGTATAGGGCGAGAGGAAGTACACGGCCTCCTCCGCATTTCCAGAGATCTCTGAGTCGTACACTTCGATGGATTCGTTGGATTTTCTCAGCCGCAGCTCATGAAGATCTCCTACGATATCTGGATTAGCGGCAATCATCGGTAATAGGCATCACTTTGCGCATAGTGATAAGAACAGCCAAGCACCACAGCGTAAGCCCAATATTAATGCATTGGTCTCTCAAACGCCAAAAGGTCTGTTAAGCCAGTATAATGTAGGCAATCAATGTTCCGATGTTCGATCCCTCGGTGTCCGTCTATCGACACAGGGTACTGAAGCTGACATGCACATGATGACGAACGTTATCCACGGTCTCTTGAATAGTGGTGGCAGATGCGTCGACAGGGACTCCGTAAAATACCGTAATTTAGTTGAGGACTGCAGTATCTTATCATTTCACGAACGTGTGATAGAATTGGGCATACACGTCAGTCCAAATTGTCTTACCTGTCATAGTGGAGCGCCGAAATGCCGCGCCTGTTTGCGGTGATCTTTGAGTTGAAGATGCGGACGCGAGGAGCGCGGCCTGGTATAGCCATCCGTCTCAGGAGGGAGGTGGGCCGAGGGTTGCGCACGTCAGAGCCTGCCAGCGGCGCACGTCAGGCGGCCGGACAATGTATCAGTCGTGGACATCTTGTGAGGACAAATCGATTAGCAATGTCTCCATCCGGACACTTTGAAGCCAGTCAGGGGGCAATAGGGCACCTCAAATGGTAATGATAACTTGTGAAGACAAGGGTGACTGCCGCGTAACTGTGGAAAGATAAGTGACAGAAACTCACACCCGACAGCCGAGATTAAAAGTACATCACGCGCTTGTTTACAACAGCCATGATAATGAAAATTCATCGAACTCACGTCTGACGGCGGTGAGCAGGAAGACTGCGCCTCCGCGGGTTGTGGCCGGCGCAGTGTACTGCAGCACCAGCTGGAAGCTGGACGAGCTCAGCGGGAACGCCAGGAGGTCCCGGCGTAGCCGCCACACCTGGGCACGCACCGAGGCCCAGCTAGGTCAATGGCGGACACAGGTCAGTCTCAGCATCATTCGCAGTCTCTGGATACCTGCGCACAGGGGGGCAACGGAATGCTGCCCGTTCATGAACATGGTTGCGTCATCTGTCACCGAACTTCGTGTACATGCGGCACTATGGCACGCCACAGAAGAAACCGAGAACACAGAAACTGCTCTTCGTCTATATTGGTCCCGACCCTACACCGACATTCAGTCATTCTGCCAACGCTGGCTGAATGTCTGGCATTGGTCCCGAAGCTACACCGACATTGTCATTCCGCCAACGCTTGCGGGATCTGTGGCTAAGAGCTTTCTAAAGGCTTATTGTTGACGGAAGTACAAGGTTGATCATGATTCTGAGTCAGTCGAGTGGGCAAATCAAAGGGATCATCATGGAGCCAGTCGACGTCTGCACAGTTGTCCGAATGTTGTCCGGATTTGCATCAAGATCTCATGCTCCTTAGCTCAGGATATACAATCTTCGCTTGCAGACCGATGAATCTTCTCATCATTTGTCCACAACTTGCTGTGTTGAAATTGGTGAATTGAGGAGCTACAGCTGACCTTTAAAGCAACACACACATACACACACACACACACGCACACGCACGCGCACACACACACACACACACGCACACGCACACGCACACGCACACGCACACGCACACGCACACGCACGCGCACGCGCACGCGCACGCGCACGCGCACGCACACGCACGCGCACACGCACACGCACACGCACACGCACACGCACACACACACCTGCAGACTTAACAAGTTTGTTGACGGGTTCTGAGCGGGCATAGCTAGTTTCATCCGGCGGCCAGCACAAGGCCGGGCAACCAGGTTACCATACGCTGAGCCTTTTGAGCTTTTTGAACGTTTGGCTTATATAAGTGAAGCTGATCTGGCCTACAGCGATTTGATTTTCTCCCAACCACTTCGGCAAACGCACCTTCCAAAACAGAAAGCGCCAGTCCTGAGATTTGTATATCAGTGCAGCGTAGCTGGACGGTATAACCGTATACTCGTACGGTACAGTTAACAACTAATACAACAGACAACCGTAAGTTTGGGCTGGGATGTCAGGCGGTCCACTCTTACTGCCCTGAAAATCCTATCACAAACATGTGCCCCTTCTCGTATGTAAGCGGAATCTGTTATGACAAACATGTAGCTTCTTCTTGTATCTGGGCCCTACGCCGTCTGTTCAGAAACGAACTTTATTCAAATACATTGAGCGGGGAGGAGACATCAGTATTTTAAGTCAACATCTTTAGACAAGACCGTAGGTCCCATGCTAAAAGTTGAAGACACCGGGAGGAAGAGGGGCATGGCTTCTCAAAATGTACGGAAAGCTCCAAACATGCGTTCGCTAGCGCGTTTCTGCCATACACATGCAGTGCTGTGACACCAGTCTAACGCAGGCGACCAGACCAGCCTTGGTATTGGCGTGTTCCTGTTGGCAAGGTCGGGACTTTCTGGCCGCTGCAGCACCCTCACTGTTCTTCATAGCATAACACCATTGGGATGCCCCTAGTATCCAGTCCTTTATTATTTCCATGTACACCCTCATTTGGAACTTTATACCCAGTATTTGCGTTACTCAATTCGTGCCTTCAGGCTTAGCTTATTTCTGTCAATCGTCAGCCTCATGTCGTTGGGAGCGTTGGTTTTTCCGTACTTGATATTGGCAAGAGAAGTTTTCTTGACTGCTGTATGCGCAAATTCCTTAGTTCATCTCCGATGATGTCATTTTAAGTGACATTGATTGCAACTGCGTTTAATTAGGCAATCGACAAATCATAATTAACAGCTCAATGACACCATAGCCAGCACTTGCCACTGGCTTCAAGTTTGTACACCCAACGCATGGCGGAGGCCCTGAGTGGCCCACCGCCACAAGGAATACGACAGCCCTCTCCTAACAGCGTTTTGTCGACACGGCTCCTCGCCGTTTGTGCACCTTGAGCTAGTCGCAAACAGACTAACAGCGTGCGCAGGCGTGTGCCAGATCATTAGCTCTGGCAATGAGCTGGGACGTGGAGCGTCTCTACTGCCATAGCCACTGCTGTTCGTTACCTTATACTACTAACATGTAATAAAATACGTTAGTTTCTGCGCACCTACAGGCGAGTTGATATTTGTCCACAAGAGCGTCGCAGACTTAAATACCTTACTTAAAAGATAGTTCACTGCCCGGTGGAGGGTCGAGGTTTCTTTTCGCGATAAAGAGTGGTTTGCGAGGAGGGAGGTGTAATGGTTGAGAGGTTAGCGCCTCCAGCCTCCACGTGAAGAATCAGGTTCGAGCCACAGTGGCGTCATGACCACTGGGTGCTAAATGTCCTCTGCAGTCGCCCGCACTTTGCAAAAGGGTGCGCGACGACACGTTTACGTTTTTAGAGTGTTTTTCAGCTGTTATTGAAAGGTTCAACACCAACAATTTATCGCATGCGTATCAGGCAGGTTTGAAAACAAATATTACGGCGACTTAAACAGCCATTTGAAGCTAGCAAAAAAGTCCTTTTGACTTGGCATTTTCCCTCATAAAAATACCAGTCACAAACATAAGTTAGCTCAATGTATGCTTGCGGTTGTCCGATAAGGAGGATGAGAATATGGAGAGCCCACGGTTACAGCCCTTGCTACTGTCACCGCGGCCTCCTAGCTGAACCTTCGTCGTCGTCCGACGGTGGGTCCAATCTCACCTCCACGACCTACTGTATCTAGTAAACTTCGTGGCAGATTCGATCTCACCCCCACGTCTTGGTATATCTAGTCTGCTTTGTGGTAGGTTCGATCTCACCTGCACGTGCGGCTGCATCTAGTAAACTTCGTGGTAGGCCGGATCTCACCTCCACGTCCGGCTGTGTCTAGAAAACCTCGTGGCATGCTCGATTTCACTTCCACGTCCAGTTGCATCTAGTAAACTTCGTGGTAGGTCCCATATCACCTGCACGTCCTGCTGCATTTAGTAAACTTCGTGGTAGGTCCGATCTCACCTCCACGCCCGGCTGTTTTTAGTAAACTTCGTGGTAGGTCCGGACTTACCTCTACGTCTAGCTGTATCTATTAAACTTTGTGGCAGGTCCGATCTCACCTCCACGTCTGGTTGCATCTAATAAACTTCGTGGTCTCACCTCCACGTCCGGCTGTATCTGGTAGAAGTCGTAAATGGCGATATCTTCGGTGGATTCCTCAGCGCCCGGGTTCAGAACCTGGATGCCAATGACATTCTCGCGGGCTGTCTGAGGAGTAACGATTGAATGTGATGGATGAAGTGTGTTAGGAAGCGACAAAGATGGGGTGATTTTAATAAAAAATTAACGGTGTGACGGCTAAGTAATACCATGACTTCATCGTTGTTGCGTGTTTAAGAACACCGTAACAGACAGAAACGCCTGATAAAACTTTGTTAACTACTATTGCATTATTAATAAAAACTGCGCGAAGGAGAACGTAAGCTACGTGAGAAAGGAACGGAAAATATATCGAACAAAATTGACACATTACGTCCGAACATGTAGCAAAGGAGACCATATATCCATGCCGTTTGTGTCGTTTTTATTATCCTCACACAATCTCGGGATCATCTTGTTAAGCGCGGCACCGTAACCGACATAACACCCCTCAAACTATGACATCCTTAATCCTGCCCCCACCCTCACCCCGCTCCTGGTGTTATTAACATAATCGCATATCCCGGCACTCTTCTCCTCCATGTCATCCAATGTTTGTGCTACGTTATCAAATTCTTAGCGACGACACACAAATGGCTTATATGTGGTGGGCGTGTCGAGTGGTCAAAGACGGACACAAATCAATATTTCTGTGCCCTCATTATATGCGGCATCACTTCGTTGTCCAAAATAGTGTCGAGTCCTACGGCGGACTACGGCTCGTAGATATTTCAACTACGATGGGGCTTATCCTAATTCTGCCGGGAGCTACGTGCACATTATGCGCTCTCGCAACTGGCATTGGCGTATCACATTCACTGCAATAACATACCTGGATATTGTATATCTTTTCGATGGCACCTATCGCACCCTCTGTGATGAGGTAGATGGGTTTGTTAAGCTCCAGTTCCAGATGGGTGTCGGCAGATGGCACCAGGATCTTGCGCTCGGGCGCCGCGCTGACCCAGCGCACCAGCTCTCTCTGCTCGTAACGGCTGAGGGAGGGCTCGTAGTGCAGTCCAGACTGGCCGTTCGCCTTCAGCAGACAGTCTGCAATAGCCAATCACTTCTCACCAAAAAAATCTGACCCCATCTTTCGCAATGTGACTTAAGTCTTAATTCATCTTAAACTTGAGGAGCACTGATGTCAATGCCGGCGCACTGATCCTGATCCTTAGCAAGACCGGCGTTCTGACCTTGATTGCTGCTCAGACCGGCGCACTGACCCTGATCGCTGGTCAGACCGGCGCACTGACCCTGATCGCTGGTCAGACCGGTACACTGACCCTGATCGCTGGTCAGACCGGTACACTGACCCTGATCGCTGGTCAGACCGGTACACTGGTCCTGATCGCTGGTCAGACCGGTACACTGATCATGGTCGCTGGCCGGAGCGGTACACTGACCCTGATCGCTGGTCAGACCGGTACACTGATCATGGTCGCTGGCCGGACCGGTACACTGATCATGATCGCTGGCCGGACCGGTACACTTATCATGGTCGCTGGCCGGACCGGTACACTGATCATGATCGCTGGCCGGAGCGGTACACTGCCCTGTGCTGATCTGATCCGGATCTGATCCATTGCCCGGTGCACTGATGCACTGGGCAAGGTGCAAGGAACAGCGCGATGCACTGATCATGATCACTGGTCAGACCGGGGCACTGATCCTGATCGCTGGTCAGATCTGCGCACTGATCCTGATCGCTGGTCAGACCGGCACACTGATCCTGACCGGCGGTTACGCCAGCGCACTGATCCTGATCGCTGGTCAGACTGGTGCATTGACCCCGATCGGTGGTTAGGCCAGCGCACTGATCCTGATCGCTGGCCAGACTGGCGCACTGATAGCGCATTGATCCTGACCGCTGGCCAGACCGGCGCACTGATCCTGATCCGTAGCCAGACCGGCACACTGACCAGACATCTCAAGCCACAGGTTGCGCATGGAGATGCCGTGGCCGCGGTTTTGGCTAGACTCCACGTGCTTCATGTGGTTGACGTCGTCGATTTTGTAAATATCTGAGTACATGATGCCTAAGCCATCGCCATCGTTCATGGACAGCTTCACGTGCTCCAGGACGTGGTGGTTGAAGTCCAATCGGAGAGCTGCAAAGTGATAAGATATGAGTGATCTACCAGTCGGTTCAATAGGCCCTGCAGTTTTAAACCATCAAAATACTATAATAACCAGGAAAACGGTATAGTTTCCTTTTCGGTCCGGTTTTCGGTGTTTTAATACTCTTGACTTTCGGAGAGGAAGCAGGTCAAACTTGAGGAGAAACGCATGTTGTGTATTTTGGGCCTGGTATAGCAATGTTCTTCTGTTAAGCTCTTCTCTCTCTCCCCTTCGTACTATGTTGTAAAGCCCCCCTAGCAACAGTCGTAGGGTAAAATATTCCCATGTCATTAAAGGTGTAGCCCAACCATTGTATGCACAAGCCATAGTCGACATGCGACAGGATGATTACATCGGGTAAGTTCTCACCGCGATATACACGAGTCGAAATTTTAATCGGAACTGCTTCGAGGTTTCAATCAAGCTGGATATTTGAATGTGTTACAATCATATTCTTGTCTGAGGACAATGGGAGCTCACTGTACTCGTGGTCAATGTTATTGCCCGCTGGCACCCAGTAGGCATCAAACAGACGGAATAATCCAGCTAACGGTGAAACAGAAAACCGCCTCGATTTAAAACGCTACCACGCTTATGAAGGCAGCGCAGCCCCAGTTTAACCACATGCTATTTCACTGTCACCTAAGATCAAGGCAAGTGCTGCTGGCGTCAGCAGAGCCGTGGTGGGATTAGTAAACGTGACAATGCCTAAGATCAAGGCAGCCTTTTAACAGATCGCACCGTGACGTTTTCCGCCTTTGTCTCCTTCTGCGCCACCACTGCTGTCAGTGGCGGCCCCCTCTCACCGGGCCCGAACGCATCGGTGGCGTAGTCCACCAGACCGGCGCGCTCCAACAGAACGTTCTTCAGGATGTTCTTCTCCGACGGCACGCCGAACCGCACGCCGGCCCACGTGACGTCATAGCAGCGGAGCGTGACGTCACGATCGTGAGAGCAGGTGTGTTCTAGGTCGTCCGCACCCTCAAACTGGCACTGGGTCAGGTCCGTGTCCGTGTGGCTGCACCGAACTGTGCTGCAGGGACACGGATTGACACCAGCTGTGATCGAAATGCCCCAGTACTGAACATCGCTGAAACCTCTCTGCAGCCTTGTACATGCTAATGTGATGATATCCAGTAAGTATAAAGTAAGTAAAGTAAGGACGGAAGTAAGTAAGAAGTATATTGCAATGGGATTCATACTGTCAATCCAGTGTTCTGAATATGAACAAGGGAACGCTTTTCCTCGTACATTGCACTCTACGGATCTAATATATGCGTAGTCTACCTCGACCATTTAAGACGGCTCGCGTTAAGTGTGATACACCAGGGTGGACCCACTCGGTGCAATGCTCTAATCAACTGCATCCGAGTTTAACGGTTCCAGTTTCTGTCTCTCCCACACAGCGACTGGCGACTCGAAACATCAGCAACTCGCGAACGCAAAATAGGGTCACCGTGCGCAGGGATGAACTATACGGTTTTCTTTTAGTTTAATTAAACAAGCGCATTTCCAACGCAGTAGCCGTGACGATGGAGACCGGGTTTTGCAGGCTGAGTGCAGCGAATCTGAATTACGAGACGTGCGATTAGATTGAATCAAATAAAGGAGATGTTAATGGCAGCTGGAGCCTGACCATGGAGATCAAATTATTTGCTAGTCGTAGCAGTGCACGATACAATAAAGATAGTCTGGCAGACTTGCCCAGCTTGAAGACCGAAGCTGGAATCATACATGAAACCGGAAATGTACAAATGAGCAACAATTTTTGTGTATTCAACTCAGTTTGCTCGATGTTTTCCTCGTGCTCAAAATTTGTTTATGCTAAATATCTGAAAGCACTTGAGCAAGCGGAGCACCTGATGAGAACGCGCGAGTCGAGTCCGTCGGCCGGTTGCTGGCCTGGGTCGAGCGTCCAATCGGCCGGGTTGAGCACCCAGCCGAGCTGGTGGCACACCAGAGCCGCTGGCAGCCGGCTCCAGCCGTGGCTACACACCGTGCCCCATTCGTTGTTGATGTGCACCTGGCGGAGGAGGCCGGCCACAGAGCCCGCTGGTCAAGTCATCATGTCAGCGGAGGGCGGCCACAAGGCCCGCTGGTTAGGTCACCATGGCAGAGGAGGCCGGCCACAGAGCCCGCTGGTCAGGCCATTATCACCTGGTCCCACCGGCAGGACGGTGGGCCACCTTCCCGGGTCAGACGAGGGTCACACCAGCAGAGCGGTATGCCACTTAACTGGGTCAGACGAGGGTTACACCGGCAGGACGGTGTACGATTTTCCCGTAGCATATGAGGCTTGCACTACCAGAGCAGTACCCGGGGTCATAGGCGGGTCAGACGAGGACCATGCTAAGAGGTTATCAGTCCATCATCACCGGCCAGAGACACTCTTAGCAAGGCACATCTCTCGGGGTTTATATTCCAGCAGTACTAGCCTTGATCAAGGCTTTGACCAAATGCGCCTCACTGGCCTCGCTCGCAGCAGTAGCTAAACCACGCTGACCTGGCCGATGCACTCACATGTGTCTCACCGGGATGCATAGCCTAACAGGCCCGGTGGCCGAGCTGGCCATGACTGGGCTCCTGGCCGCAGCCGGAGCCCGGCCGTGGATCCCACTGACCTGGAGTCGACCCTCGCGTTCGGTCCGGCCGCCGACCAGCCGCACCGGCGCCATGCTGACGTTACTGCGTACGCCCCGCTCCAGCAGGCTGAGCGTGACCCGCTTCTCCTTGGCCAGCGAGGATCCCTCAGCGTGCAGGTGGCCAGCTACCATCATGCCTGAGGCCACGGCTGAAGGTCACCGGCCGCCGACCGGGTGGTCCGCTTGCCACCGGTGGGGCAGTGACCAGTGTGCACCCCTGTACACACGGCCGCAGACAAGACAACACTCACGTGCAGGGAGAGAGCTATGGTAACAGATAGGGTGGAGCGATGGGGGGACAAAGATTGCAAATTTACTTGTCTCGTGTTTCCCGGATGACTTTGCTTTTTCTTGTGGGCACACTGTGAACAGACTTACGTCTTTGGGCCACAGCAAATTTGGGCGGCACGAAGCCAAAACAAATGTCTAGGTCCGGCAAGTGCATGGCCCCTCTCGTCAACCCACCGACGCTGTGTGGGAAAAGCAGGCGAACGCCAAAGGCCACCGTCAGGCGCGCGCCGGGCCGTACGAAGATGTCGCGGGTCACGGTCAGCGTGCCCTCAGGCAACACAACCTGACCGTCGATCTCGCCGCCGATCTCGCCCCGCTCGTTCGGCCCGAAGCTCGGCACGAATTGCTGGTTGAGCGAAGTGAGCGACGAGTGCGGGTCGTTTTCGCTCAGCAGGAACGGCTCGAAGTCGGCCTTGGCCAGGTTGTAGCGGTCCTTGCGATCGAAGATGCGCTCGTACACGAGGCGCGAGCGCTTGAAGCCGAACCAATTGTGTGAGACGTTGGCGTTGGCGCTCTGGTCCTCGAAGTGGACGCCCAGTTCGTAGCGCGAGTCGGGGTTCTCCAGGATGTTGCGGTAGACGACGGCCGACGCCGAGGAAACGGCGACCACGGCCGCCACACGGTTGCGAGGGTTCAGGCTGGGAAACGGCTCTGACACGCTATTGCGCAGCAGAAAGTTCTCAGTGAAGAGGATGCGCTGTCGCGGTGAGCGGGTGAACTGCGACGAGCCCACGCTCACCACGTACATCCCTTTGTTCCTCTCGAAAAAGTTCTGGGTGATGCGAAGCTGCAGTGGCAACAGTTCCACCTCGGGCGTGTCGCCACTGAAGACGCGCAGTGTCGCCACACGCTGATCGGCAAAGTAGTTGTTGTCGATGCTGCCGAAGATGTTGGCTATCGGCGCCATGCTGATGGCGAGCCGCCGGTTGGCGATGAAGCGGTTGTGGCCGATCTGGAGCGCGGTGATGCCTCGCGTCACGTTCTGACACGACCACACGTCTACGGCGTCGCCGCGGCCCGCTTCAAACACATTGCCGCTGATGTTCACAAATGCGCTGCGGCAGAAGTTTCCAACAAATACACCCTGCTCTAAATTGCCAGAGACGCTCGAGTACGACACCACGAGCTCCTCGCGGAAAGCGATCCAGCGGCGCGTGTCGTTCAGCCAAAGTGACACGCCTCGGCCCGAGTTACCGCGCACTTCGCTCCACGAGACGTTCTGCGCGCCGCCAGCATACGTGATGTTGATGCCGTCACCCAAGTTGCCGCTGATCTGCGACCACGTGACGTTCACATCGCCGGCGCCGCCCCATACGTGTACGCCGGCCACGTGGGAGTTGTTGGCTACGGTCGTGCGGTGCACGTGCACGAGCGAGCGCATGTTCTCGATGGCGATGCCACGCCCGTTATTGTTGGACACGTCCGAGTTGGACACGTTCAGGTCGTGGGTCTTCCCTGTGGAGGGGCGGCACACAGTCAGCGTAGAGGCCGGCAAACCCCAATCGTTCATCAATCACGCCTCAACCCGCACATGCCGGCGCTGGTGAGTGGGTGTGTGAATGCGTTTGCCTGTGTGGCTGCGTGCAAGTGCGCGTGTGCAGGCGTGCGCATGCGCATGTAGGTGTGTGTAGGCATACGATATGCGTCCGAGCGTGCGTGCGTGTCTCCTGGCCAGCGCGGTTTGGAGATTAACGACCTTAGCTGCTGATTACCATATTCCGTTCACGCATGATGCATGATATACCTATAATATGTTCACACACATTCGGTAACAGCTGATTCCGTTCATGTATGGTGTTGCGCCCTGTAGTTTCCACGCAGTGTGTCCATGTCGCAACGATTACAGTCTGTTTCGAACTGGCTAGATGACGATCCACTGGTGCAACCTCCCTTTGAAGAGCCTCATCACCAAGATATTACCTTACCCAGTGAGTTATCACAAAACGCAAAGCGGCCGGTCCGTCCGGGTGGTCTTGTTGGTTAGGGCAGCGTGCATGCCTTACTATCCACCTATCCGTGGTACTAAGGGTTTTAAGTCTCTTTAAGCGTTCGGTATTTCCCCTGACAGGAATGGCCTGCGGTCAGTGGCAGCGGCCGCACTAAAGGCCATATGACGTCAGAGGGCAGGACGGATTGTGGTGGTATGTTACGCTTTTGTCTTAAAATTTTGCACTTGACCTGGAACTTCACAATCGGCGGTTTGGTTCATTGCTTACGCAACAAATACGGCTTAGCGTGGACGCTGATCCCAAAAACTACTAATCAAAAGTTCAGGACTGAAGTCTTAACAGCGCTGTGGTTGCACGGATGGGCAGTGATTCTACACCATCAGAGGTAAACTGAGACAGTGGCCGGGACTGCGCCGCCGGCACCCCAACAGGGACGCGTACCTGGCCCGGCGGTGATGGCCATCAGCACCTCCGTCTGGGTCTGGTTACCGGCAGAGAAGGTCACTAGCAAATGGTTCCTGGTGGTGACCAGACTCTGGGGCCGTGTGCCGTTTCGAATCTGAAAACCGGAGATCAGGATCGTGATTGGCGCGGTCGTATCTCTGGCACGGGATTCATACCATTTCCACCAATCAGCAAGAAGTTGAGACCGATTATGGGTAGAAGAGCCAAGCAAACCGGAATATGCTAAGAAAGGCGTTCAACTGAACCATCTATACGCCGTTGTACGCGGCTGTGTATTTGAGTTCCTTCCGTTCCCAATAGCCACACAATAATGAAGACTATCTAGGAGGATGCTCTGTTAAACACTGGTGCACCATGATCTAGTACGCTCACATGTATGATGGGGCTGATATGTCAAAGCGCAATCTCCCATAAACATTTTACCTTCGCTAACTGCAGCAGATGACACGTGACAGCATTAATCAATTTTTACCAGTTACCACAAGAAAGCACGCAAGACGTTTGAAACGGAGGTCAAACTATCAACATTCATTGAGTGGTCAGAACGGACAAAAACGTTTCGCCTGACCGTCCTGGACAGATAGCAAACGCAGCCATAGCACTGCAGGCACAGCGGATACACTTCGCGAGCTCAGACCGCACAGAAAACTTACCCGGAACGAGCCGAGCAGAGGCGATGTGGCGCTCATGCCGTCAAAGAAGCTGATCTGAGCGTCCTCGTCTATGTCGCTCGTCAGATACAGGAAGCTGACCGTCATCACCAGATCGTGACGAGAGTGGAAGGTCTGCCAACAACCGAACGTAGCGGTCGATAGCTCGAGTTGTCGTTTGGCTCCACGAGGTGTACGATGAAATCATATCTTTTAAAGACGCATGCGTAACGGCCGAAGCATGCATATTTTCTTTACACATAAGCGTACATACTTACCATCTAATGAAGGAACATCAGCGAATACTGGAAATATGACATCCTGTAGTGACCCAAATGAATGCATGCATAATGCAACAAGTAAAAAATAAACGGATGACAGACTTGCTTTTGTCCCATACTGAGCGCAAGCTAATCACAGAACATCGATTAATAACTCGAAGCGCAGCAGTAAAACATTTCCTGATATTTCTAAACGAGGATGGTTTACAAAACCGTCGGGTGGTTTATGGTGTTCTGATCCTGCTATCCCATAATGTGGTTGGTAGGATCACACTCAAACCTGCAAAAAGACGTGCTGAATTCACTAAATGGCGAAGGACGCACCAAAATTACCTAACGCAAAAGTAGCAAACTCCCAAAGTGACAAACGCGACAAACTCACCCATTGACCCAGTCATAAAGAGCTACTACCACTAATGAGAAAGCAACCAGCTCACTGGCTGACCTCAGACCTAGCAAACTCCATGACTGATGTGAAACATGACAAGCTCACTAGCCGGCCATAGCTGCGACAAACTCATTGACTGATCGCCAAACATGACAGGCTCACTAGCCGGCCACAGCTGCGACAAACTCATTGACTGATCTCCAAAGCCAACGTATGACGAAGCTGCTGGCTGATTTTGTGGTCGAAAAGTTAATCCGCAACATAGCGCTCCAAGATGACGAGCGAAGTATCACGTGGGAGGTTAATGCTGTAAAACACATTATTTATGAAACAAAATTACTTAAAAGAACAATGATAGGTCCATCTGGGCAATTCTCTATGAACGAGCCTAATTCTTATTGTTCTATTCCTTTACGGTGTTCGTTGGTGCTGTACTACCCAAGCTCCCGCCCCAAATCACCTTATGAGTCACCCCAAGCTCCCGCCCAAAATCACCTTATGAGCCACCCCAAGCGCTCACCCCAAGTCACCTTCTGACCTGCCCCCAGCTCCGCCACGAGTTACCTTCTGACCCGCCCAGCTCCCGTCCCAAGTCACCTGACTCGCCTCCAGCGTCCAATCCGAGTAACCTTTTGACCCCCCCCCCCCCTTCCCAGCTCCGCACCGAGTCACCATCTGACCCTACCCCAGCTCCGTCCCGAGTTACCCTCTGATCCACCCCCCAGCTCCGCCCCGAGTCACCATCTGACTCGCCCCCAGCGCCTGCTCAGAGTCACCTCCATGCCCGCCACCAGAGCCCGTCCAGAGTCACCTTCTGGCAGCGGATCGGCCGGTAACTGGTCCGTAACTGCTGGGCCACGGAGTGGATGGGGTAGACCTGTTGGACGGTGGTGCCCGAACTACAGAAGTCGGTGACGGGCGCGCCGTCCACCTCGCGCCGCGCCATCTCCCGGTCGTGTTGCACCAGGCGCACGCCGTCGGCGCCGTTCTCACGCACACTGCAGTCGTGCACGTGCACCAGGCCCGTGGATGTGTTGATGTAGATGCCGGTGCCTGGCGGGATGAAACGGACAGGTGAGTACACGCGGTGGGTCAGCTGGCCCGCAGAGCCCGTCCGTCCAATAACGGCAGATTGTGGAAACGGTCCACTACAGAGGATTTAAATTGGTGGCGCCGAATCTTCCGGTGTCAAGAACATTGTGGGTCTTTTCCGGTAAAAACGTGTGGCCCAAACGGCATTTGGTTAGTTTCAGTGAGCCTTCAGTTGGTTCGCACGTCACAACGACACATCACTGATTACATAGCTTTTCGTCGACTCATGCGACTGCCACGGTAAACAGCGGCTCACCGCGCTGAGGTGTCAACCAAGCAAACACAAATATCACGCCAATTAAATCAAGCTCAGGCCTCTTGATCCAGTAAACCGTGTGCTAGCCAACCGTTTCCTCGTAGCTGCGCGCATACATTGCTTCAATATTTTGTACAGCAGAAAAGCGCGGTAAAGATGGAATAAAGACACGGAATATGAAAACAGCATCGCAGAGCGGACTGAGTAAGAGTAAAAGTAGTTAACCACCGGAGGAATGGTTAACTAGTTTAAGAGGGTGACGGGAGGTAGCCGCCTTTACTGATCACGTCACACACACGGCCGGCGTTTGGGCGGGCCAGCCCTGACCAGCGTTGTCCTGGACGGTGCAGCTGTGGATGTTGACCATAGAGTCTGGCTGGGTGATGTTGAGTCCGCCGCCTGCCGAGCCGCGCACGTTGACGCCGTACAGCCGCGGCGGCACGCCCTGGCTTTCGATGGCTGCGTGTACCTGCCGCCAAAGGGGGCCCGCCGCGTCAGGCACAGCCCGGCTCGTGATGGTCTGCTGTTCCTGCCGCCAGAGGGGGCCACCGCGTCAGGCACACCGCAGCTTGTGATGGCCGGGTGTTCCTGCCACCAGAGGGGCTCGCCATGTCAGCCACACCGCGGCTCGTGGTGGCCGAGGTGTGCTTGACGCCCGAGTGGCCTGCCTCATCAGGCACAGACCGGCTGGTGGTGGCCGGTGATGTTTTATAATCACAATGTGCAGTTGGTCAGCATGCGGCCATATCTGGATTAAACAGCTCTGCGTTGGCAGCCCTGCATCTGTCAGCTGTAGTCCTGAGGGGGACAAACGGCAAATGTCCCAGCTGCCTTAACCGCTGGCTCAATCAATGGCCTTTGCGTTTCAATTCAACGTGAAACTCTGTAGCTTTTGCTATGTTTGCAATAGTCAACCAGTCTTCTGTTCAGCCGCACGCTTGTTTACACCTCTCTGCGCTATCCAATCCCGACTCTCACACTTCTATTCCGCTCAGTTCTGACTCTCTTCCCTTCTACCCGGTTTGTTCCATACCACTCCCATACCTTGCATAGTCCCCATGCCGACTGTCACCCTTCCCTCTTGACCCAAGCCGACTCTCACCCTCCCGTGCTGACCCAAGCCGGCTCTTACTCCCCTGAGCTGAGCCATGCAAAATCCCTTCTAGAGCCCACCGTTCTCTGCTGACCCAAGCCGCCTCTCACCCCCTGTGCTTATCCCTGCCGAATCTCACCCCTTTGTGGTGACCCATGCCGAATCTTACCCCTTTGTCCTGACCCATGCCAGCGTGCAGCACATCCACGTGGTAGAGCTCGGAGTCTGAGAACTTCTCGTAGAGCGAGTCGCCAGCGGTGAGCATCTTGGTGTTGGCAGCCCACTCAAACCGTATGCCTCGCCAGTGGGTGAGCAGCCGGCTCGCGGAGAAGACGGGGTCACAGCGCAGGGCCAGGTCAGGATGGTCGTCTGACAACCAGCCGGCCGAGGTTAGCACACACCAGGTGTGGTCTGAAGGCTGGGGACACAGGCAACACACCTAGTCTGCTAGAGGGTGAGGACACGACAGATGAGGTCCGAGACGCGTCATGATATATCGCATGTGATCAAAAGAGCAGGGAGAAAAAGGTTAAAGGATGCTGGTCAGTCTTCGGAACAAGGATCACCCACTCTGTTTTTGTGACACAATCAAGTCACCCAAGCTCCCTGACACGGAATATATCAGTTTTTGCCTAAGTAGCCCAGAAAGGAAACAACGTGTTTAATGTAATAAAACGCAACAGCCAGGCAACATTGGTGTAGGTTAAGTAAGGCAAAAATTAGGGGGACTCCGATGAAACCAGAGTGTGTGCCAAGGGGGGACGATAGCATGTTTGGTTTACATAGGTGAGATAGCAGTAAACATCACAGCATCCGCACCAACAAAAAAGGGCATCACAAAGGGTGTATATGACGCGCAAACCGTTGTTCACAGATCGGCTGAGATAGTGGTAGAGGTCGCCCACGCGCAGAATATGTGCACAGCGTTATAAGCATAATGTACGCAGCCTGAACACTGATCGCCATTCCCACAGGGTAAATCATGCAAATAGAACATGTGGAGTCAGACATTAACTGATGTCAATGACTAAATGTTGGTCACCTGACGTCCAGAACAATACCCAGGAGCCAAAATGTGTTAAGGAATTTCGGAGGAGACTCATTTTGGCGACGATTGTACCAATTCAGTGTATTTAGTTTAGCGTAATGTCATTCTAGGTGCTTCAGTGCAAACGTAGTAAATGTGTTGGTGCATTATTGATAAGTAGCGTTTCGCTGGCACTCGAAGAGGCTACCGGACCAGCACCGGTGCCGCGGGGGCGTAGGTTAAGAGCACCGGTGCCGCGGGGGCGTAGGTTAAGAGCACCGGTGCGGCGGGGGCGCGCGCTCACCGCAGACACCGGCGCCCATGGCCCTGCGCTTCCAGTCGCAGTGCTGCAGTCGCTGCTCGGAGCCGCTGCAGTCCGGCTGCTGGTACAGCATGCGGTGTGTGCCGTTCAGCCACCTGTACCAGTCGGCGTACTGGCCGCCGGCGTAGCCCAGCTGGCTGCAGGCCACCTGCCGGTCCGCCTCCGTCCAGCTGGCGGCACCGGCCGGCACGTGTCAGCACACCGCACGGGTCGGCAGGCGTCGCCTCCAGCGGCCAGGAGGGTAACCCTTCCAATGGCCGTCCTCTCAGCAAGGCCGGCTATTGACCGACGCTGGATGCTGCTGGTGTCGCTGTGATCTGTTGGAGACCGAGGTCAACACTGGTCTACCGTGGAGTAAATGCAGCCCACACGTGGCGGTCCACACTCCGAGCCGGTCGACGCCACCCCGCTGCTGCTGTCCCGAGGACTAGAAGACGAGGACAGGTAAGCCCGGCTGCTGATGTCCCGAGGACTAGAAGACGAGGACGGGTAAGCCCGGCTGCTGATGTCCCAAGGACTAGAAGACGAGGACGGGTAAGCCCGGCTGCTGATGTCCCGAGGACTAGAAGACGAGGACGGGTAAGCCCGGCTGCTGATGTCCTCGAGGACTGGAGGACGAGGACGGGTAAGCCCGGCCGCTGATGTCCTCGAGGACTGGAGGACGAGGACGGGTAAGCCCGGCTGCTGATGTCCCCGAGGACTGGAAGACAGGGCGGGTAAACCCTCACTGGACGCAGCGGGGCTACCATGCGGAATCAGCTTTTCCAGGGACACAAAAAGCAGCCAATAATGGCTCAGCAAAGCTAGCTAAGGTGGAAAGTTGAATGCACTCGCTTGAAAAAATCAACTTAATAATGCATGGCATGACTGGCCGCTCAACCGCGGTATCTCCTTTGAAAACTTATAGGAATAAGTTGCACCAAAAATCGTCTGGTTGTGCTGTTCCATGCCAATAAATAATGACTTATAAGAAGCCAATCGGTGCAGAATGAGCCCGTGCATCTCACAGGTTATTCTGAGCCACTAAGGGCCTTCTCAAGGCTCATTGAGTTTTGGCACATGTGATGACCTGGCTTGGAACTGTATCTGGTCAAGGGTATCTTTGAATCACTTAGATTAGTATTTTACATGTTATACTTTTCAGATATAAACAACGCTGTATTGCTTGAGTAAGTTTAGGTAAGGATGATACTTTTCCGCTGTGCTTGCTCCAAAAGGGCTTATGCTCCTGGAGAACCACAATTTTCTACTTTACATCCGTAAGCAGTGAACCTGCAGAGTTCAAAATGATATCGTTGGATTCCTCAGCAAACAAGGTGTCGGCATCCACCGTCTCTCTTCGCAACTCCACCTCAGCTGGAGCCTAAATGACAGCGATAACGCCTTCAATTCCTTTATCTAACGCGCCAGTGAAAATCGCTCCCGGCCGACCGGAATGCCGTATAGCGCGTGTGAAGCTCAGAGTCCAGGGGAGACACCTTTTGGGACCGGTCCCACCATGCTCGCTTGTCGTCACAAGAGCCACAGGCAGCACCTAGTTAAAGTTGTGGGACCCACAGTTATAGCCTTGGCGAGACCCACGTCCTGCGTTGGTGAGAAGATTCTCAGGTTAAGCTCGTGACATCATCCGAACAGTACAGGAATTACATATCCTAACTCATATCGCGTATGATAGGTCACCAGCACGCATGCGCTCACAATTGGTTGATACATGCCACGATTATCGCTAAGGTGAGCTGTCAAAATCGAAGGTGGCACGAGTAAACTAAAAGCGCTGCTGCAAAAAAAAAACGGCGACGAAGAAAATGCCCTGAATAGTGGAATGAGCAACAGAGCAAAACATCAGCCCGCACATCTGGACTTCACGTTTCCGCACACCTTGTTCTTTGTATCGTATACCAACCATCCGGGCTTCAACCTCCCGTTGGAAACGCCGCATCGAGTTTTGCGTTGCCAGAATTGCGCCTTAAACGCTCATTCTACGAATGCCGACATAAACTTGGACTGACTGTTAAAGAACAGGATGTCGCGCAAATAGTGGAACGCCGAAGTTTTTAGAGCAATGCTAGAAAAAGGCAAACATTTCCACTAATGCAGTGATGATGCCATTCCATATTCATTGTTTGTGTTATTTGATAGATGAAAGGAATCTCGTATGAAACATGCACAGATGACAAAATGCCGATCGCCTCGCATTTTCGGTTGCTGGTAATCACGTGGACTGACCTTTACTACAGCGTCCGTGTGATGGCTTCACCTAATAATGAAAAAGCTTCCTCCCAGTAATTCAACAATGTCTTTCCTCAAATGTCGGATGGCTACTCGGCGGCTTCACGCTGTGCCCTCAGTTTAAAATGAGGTAATCCTTAGACCACCTCCTCTCTCCAATCTTCCAGTTTTCCCTTTGTTCTAAATCACCACCCGTCCAGCCTGCGCTCGTAAAAACGCCCCTCTTCTGTCCATTTCACGGTCGGAGCCCTCTTCCGTTCCACACGCCCATTGAGAATCAGCTGGGTGGTCGGCACAAACACCGCGGAAAGCACCTGCCAGCAAAGACAGAGAGCTGGAGCAGAGGAGAAAGAGCGGTTGCAAAACCAAGGGAAAACACTTGGACGTAAAGGAGGCAGAGAAGGGACAGTACGGAAATAAAAATGATGAAAGGCAAGAAGATAGAAAGAGAGAGAGAAAGAGAGAGAGAGAGGGAGAGAGAGGAGAGAGAGAGAGAGGAGAGAGAGAGAGAGAGAGAGAGAGAGAGAGAGAGAGAGAGAGAGAGAGAGAGAGAGAGAGAGAGAGAGAGAGAGAGAGGAGAGGTGGGGGGTAGGGAGAGAGGATGAAGAAGGAAAGAAACTAAACTAGGGAAGATGGTAAGAAAGGGGTACACCGCGCACTGGTCGAGCAATACTTGCTTCCTGGAGTTGGTGCAGACAGCTCGCCAGCGGTGGCGGTGGAACACCTGGAGCCGTCCCTCCCAGGGCGCCGGGCCGTCCACCAGCCGCAGGCCCGGGCGTGGCAACCGACCGACGTCCTCAGCTGCTGTCGTTAGCACGATTCTCTCGCGCGCGCTGCCCTACCGGTCAGAGATGAGCGTCAACCCTGCTGATCGGGGCACATCAGCTTAGGCGATCGGGAGGTGGATAAATACCCGCCGATCAGGTGACAACCTCACATGGGCCAATCAGTAGAACGTCACACGGTCGCAAGCATTCATGCAAATGGATTCAGTTTTCAAGGGTCAAGCGAAGGACCTTACCTAGCTTCGCATTGGGTTAATATTCGCCAGGCAATTAAATGAGTACAGCATGTTTAAGCCCATACAATGCCTGGAGTGTTCACCAGGGTTTCATTTCTTTCAGAGTCCCATTTCCGCCCAAAGCTATCGCCCTAAATAGCAATGACTCACACACTCATTTAGTAAGAGAAAAAGGTTCATGGGTTAACTTTATGAAGGTTGAACTAGTTCAGTATTGAGAAAAGGAGACCATCACCTAGTTGTGGTTATACCACAGGAGTCAGCGCACTGTAGTAAGTCGATGCGAGTTTGGAAGCACACCGTAAGTAAAGGGCCTCAATAGCTCCAATGGGATAAGTACGTTGGTCGGCCTCATGATTGTGAATGAAAATCGGAATGTAAAATAGGTGCATGTAGTGCTACCTGTAGGCATGCGTTTTCACGCGCCAAGATGGAGCGCAGTATAAGATGAAATAAGTTCTCAATTCACAATGAGAGCGAACGGAATACTTAAGCCATGCCTATCGTTTTAATCAAATGAGAATGATGCTCTTGCGACCGAGTCGGCTTTCATTTGTTCCTCAGAGCGATCACACGGCTGCTATCACCGCTCGCGTACGCAGCCACCAGCGCCGGTCAGCGGCCCGGCCACCAGTGCTGGTCAGCAGCGTGGCCGCCAGCGCTGGTCAGCGGCCCAGCCACTAACGCTGATCAGCGGGTCCAGTCACGGCACGTCCAGCACTGCGCGCGCGTGATGTCGAGTCCCATTCAGGTGTGTGTAGTCAGTAACGTACCGAGGGTCGCGCCCGGTGGGGGGACCAACAAACCCCGCTGGAGCATGCGTTGGCGTCTTCATGCTCTCGGACCAAAACGGTTCGGTTCTTGACAGTGCAGCATGTATGCTTCTTAAGTTTTGTGTTTGTCCATACCCCATAACAGGGCCTTAACTTGGTAATTAAATCAGGGTGAAATATCCAGCCAGAGCTCGCCACCATCTGCGCATTATGCGTCACGATAGCGCTGGCGGATGCTCATATGAATGCTCGCACTCAGGCGACTTTCCGGCGGGCTCCGGAAGCATGACAGACGGCCGGCGGGTGACACCGTGCACTGCTCAGTCTGTCCTCTATGACGTCACAATGCGGCGTTATCGCCGGCCCGCTGCCCATACGCCGCTTATCTGCGGGCAAACGGACCAGATAAGGCTCGCGAGCGGTGGGGTATTCGCGACCAGCCGAGCGCGCGCGCGTAGCCGCCCTCCGCGGGCAAGGCCCGGCCACCGGCGCACCCACACCGTTGCCGCCCTCGGCGGGCCTGGCCCGGCCCGGCCGCTGGTGCACCCACACCGTTGCCGCCCTCGGCGGGCCAGGCCCGGCCGCTGGTGCACCCACACCGTTGCCGCCCTCGGCGGGCGAGGCCCGGCCGCCGGTGCACCCACGCCGCTGCCGCCCTCGGCGGGCCAGGCTCGGCCGCCGGTGCACCCACGCCGCTGCCGCTCTCAGCGGGCCAGGCCCGGCCGCCGGTGCACCCACGCCGCTGCCGCTCTCAGCGGGCCAGGCCCGGCCGCCGGTGCACCCACGCCGCTGCCGCTCTCGGCGGGCCAGGCCCGGCCGCCGGCGCACCCACACTGCCCGGACGTCGTGTTGTGCGCAGCCGGGGCCTCGTTAGTGGTACTATAGCTATCAGGCGATCCGAGGCCGTGCTGGTTCTACGTCACGCGAGGTCGCGGATAGCACAGCGTGAATTCGACCTGGAAGGTCTGGGGTATTGCTTGACATAAAGAGTGATGCAAGCCGGCCAAGGGTATAGCTCAGCACTCATCACTTCGCATCTTACTCACACAATGCTGTTGATAACACTGAAACAGCTCAGGCAATGACGTAAGTGTACTGCCACTTTCTAAAGTTGGTCTTACCCAGCCCTGTTTGTGGTCATGTGCCTGGCACCACTACTGCCCAGATATGTTTCATCGAATGTGACGCAGTGTGTATTGACGAACGGTTCTATGTAGTGCAGTGGCCGGGCTGGCGCTCCTTATCATCGGTTTGTAGGTGATGGGTAGAATAGAAAAAAAAACACCGGGATGCAAATGGACCCGGTGCCAGAGCAATAATACGTAAGTGAAGCCGCGATAAGACCGCTGCTATCTCACTCCTCCTGACACTCCAACGGAACTGATGTCTGCTAAGCCTGACCAAGCGTCGACTGTCAGATCGATACCAGGTGGGGGCGGGTGGGCCAGACCACAGCCGTGTCGGCCGCCTGCCCACCGGAAACGCGAGACATCCGGCGGCGCACGCTGTCAGCCCGCGCGGCTGGCCGCCACCGTGACTGGCCCCACCTGCGGCACATAGCCTTTTACTGAGCAGAGCGTCGCCCATGGGCACTGAGACTTAGTCGGGGCCACTGCCACGGGGCGCGGCAGTCGGCTCGTTGACCTAGGACGGTATGGCGGGACACTGGACGAGGATGGCTGAAGCAGTGACCGCCGGCTGGCTGTGGTTCTTAACACCCAACACCCGGCGTCTAATGCGCCCCGGGCGGAAAGCTCATTACCGAGCCCGGAACCAGGACATCGTGCCGACGCGGTGACCGTCGTGTGACTACAGCCTTAAGCCAGACCTAGTCAGGGCCCAGTCACCTTTTGGGCAGTTTTTAAGCGTTCTTCGCGTAGCGGGCAACTTCGGATCCATGTAACATCGTAACTATTTTTGGAAGTAAATGTACACACCTTTTTTACCAGCTGAAAGAAATGGCCTTTTAGGCAAATTGTATTTGGTTCGATCTGTATGGGAGCCGCTCTGGGGACACTGTTCACTGATAGACGGTTTGGGCATCACACCAATCAACGTCCGTGTATGGCGCTTAGTTTACAGCGTCCGTGTAAAGCTCCCAGGTTACAGCGCCCGTGTACGGCGCTCAGTTTACAGCGCTCGTGTACAGGGCTCAGTTTATAGCGTCCGTGTACAGCTCTCAGGTTACAGCGTCCGTGTACGGGGCTCAGTTTACAGCGCTCGTGTACAGGGCTCAGTTCACAGCGCCCGTGTACGAGCTTTGAGAGGTAAACCAGACAACGCTGCCTGTCCGCTTGCTCCGTAAGTTTTCTCAGTCAGTCCGCTCCATTATACATACCCCGAATGCATTGCCTTGCCGCAGATGCCTTGTGTTTGACTTTGGATGAATGAATCTGTCAATGAATAGCATTCCTTGTTGTGGTGACGAATGCGGCCGCCACCAGGAACTTTAAAATACAACATATACAACATGATCCTACAGATTTTACATAACTGCACACTGCCGATGGCGTGGCTGTGTAGTGTTTCCCTCGAATGTATAAAATTTAGGCTATTTGACGTGGTCAACCCTGAGAGATGGCAAGTTATCCTATTTTGCTCCCGAAGCGAAAGAAACTTTCACATAGTTAGACCAAGCTTGAGCATGATATGGCGGAGGTGTCTTGTTATGAATGGGATCTTGGTATGACTGGTATCTTGGTGTCTTGATACAAATATAACAAATTGGATTCTGATGAAGAATCCATATGATCAAGCAGTGTCAATCAGCGCTAACATCGGCACTGACAACACTGCCATCTTCTGTCCCTTCATTTCGATCCTTGAAACCGACGGACGTGCTTCGCAGATTTACATCGCTGCTAATGTCCAGGGAGAATGTCATAACTAATAATAATGGTAGGTCACCCTGCGATCACCAATGTATGGTGACCTTGAGGTCATACATGACTACCTTTCGTGCCACTCATTTCCATGTAAGGCACTGTGATCCCAACAGCGACTCGAGATATTCGATCGAATTCTAACGACGAAGAACTATGTCGTTCACCGTGCTGTGCATGTGGCTGCTTTTTTCTTCATACCCCTATCATCAAACCTTGGTAAAGACAGGCTTGAGTGGAGACAGTAATCACTTTCTATCAGTTGATGCTACTGAAACAGCATGATGACGATAGCTAGATACACTGCACAAGTGAGGTTTGCTGAATCGGCCTCAGATTACCGGGCCCGATGCGGGCATAGCTCAAAGCAATCCTCACACCACCAAGTGAGGTTCGCTGAATCGGCCTCAGATTACCGGGCGCGATGCGGGCATAGCTCAAAGCAATCCTCACACCACCAAGTGAGGTTCGCTGAATCGGCCTCAGATTACCGGGCCCGATGCGGGCATAGCTCAAAGCAATCCTCAGACCACCAAGTGAGGTTCGCTGAATCGGCCTCAGATTACCGGACCCGATGCGGGCATAGCTCAAAGCAATCCTCACACCACCAAGTGAGGTTCGCTGAATTGGCCTCAGATTACCAGGCCCGATGCGGGCATAGCTCAAAGCAATCCTCACACCACCAAGACGTGGTGCAGGATATATCTGGTGATTGAAGCCATCATTTTAAAATTTTTTGCTTAACTCTCTTCGGAAGTCTTTTCATCTTTCTGCTCGATCTTTCGGAAATATGCCATAAAAGTCAGTTTAAACGCGAAGGTCAATCAACATGGCTATGCAGCACAATATGGGAAGAGTACCACATTTTTTAAAACTTTCTATATGCTTTTTCCACTTTGCTGCCTAGTATATAAATAACCTAGTAACTATAGCCTAGTGATGAAAACATCTGATAAGCTTGACTACCATGTCATCCGTAAGCTTGTGTCACTTATCTGTGCGTTAAGTATGCAAGGCTCCAGAAAGCGTACAAGATAACACACGTGCATCAGTCCAAGCCCATAACAGATGCGCATCACCTGGAGCGCATATGCATATAGATGCATATATGCATAAAGATGCATACCACCTCACCTGATACGATCTGTTTTACCTCCAGGGATGCGTGTTTAGTACTTAGCATGCGATATGTATAGACTTTATGTCGCTCGATGACGCTCTTTTCATCGCATTTTAGTGCTATATAAGCACGACAGCAAACAACATGAGATCTTTAGGATTCCCTAGTATAATATAAGACCAGAGTAACTCGCTTGGTCGCCATGGTTGAGCACATATCGTTTGCTCGAACCCATTGTCATAACAGGGCACCACACACACAATATATCCGTATGTACATACATACATACATACATACATACATACAGACCTATATATATATATATATATATATGCACATGTATGTGTGTAATATTCAGTCGCGGTATCTACTACGGTACCAATGACGTAAACAAATCAAAAAGTATTATGAAATATAACTAATCGCGACCTGGGCCCAGTTTTATTCAACGAAACCTGCCAACTGGTAGCATCTTCAACCACAGGAAAAGTAAATACCCTTAGTGTAACGCAGGCTCTGGCTCATTGCAATGTACGGCATTCGTATGAACACGGCGTCGCAAAAGTATTACATGTGTACTGTGTACCCAGCGCCCAGAGAGGCCATGCTGCAAATGCAACGTACAGAAACATGGACGTTTTCAGATCGAGGGTGTTGCTTGCAGACAAATGCGCACAGAAGTAAAACATGCCGGAGATCTTCATAATTGCGTCTCACAAGTAGCTGGTTGGTGAAGATCTGCATTTGACTAGACTTAGTTTATTTAAAATGTTTTGGAAACAAAAATTAATGCTCGACACAGAATAAAAATAAATGCATGTCAGGGTGTAATGCTAACTCCGCACCGTCCCCCACATTTATGGTCAATTCACAGACTGATACTGACGCAGAGAGTAGGGCTACCTCAATGGGCACGAAAGCTTCTGGTTTCTGGAGAACGGAACACTACCATTTTCATGTATTTCACACATGAATCATAAAATCTTACCACAAACTTTTTGTCACCATAATGGACACCGAGATAGACTAGTGCTGCTTCGATGCGGGATGAGGCTCCAGACGCGTTCGCCTAAAGATTTGTATTTACGAGATGTAAGTTTGCGAGACTCATTAACGAAGCTTTTCCGCGATCGCCTTTCCTCGTCTCCGTGAAGGTATGTGGAGGTAAGCTATACTGGGAGCCGTTCAAAGTGACTGGAGCTGGGGGAAAATGGTGGTGTACAGGAATTAGGGAAATGCTGCCAGCGGTTTCGCTAGTCTCGAGGCCTTAACCCCACGCATGGTGTGACTGTTACGGACCTGGGAGACTGCGGGAAAGGGGGCGACTGCGTCTGTCATCGCTGTGTTCGGTCCGTACTTGTTTCCTTCCCAGAAATCAGCCGGCGGCCAGAGCCTGCATTCGAAGGCCCTGCGCCGGCCGCCATGTGACAGCGCCTGCTGCCCACCGACACCCGTCGCACAATGGCCGCGCCCGGCCGGCGGTGTGCCGCTCTGCCGCCGTGAAATATCGGGCAGGGCTGGCGCGGCGGCGCCACGGTGAGTCAGCCGTCCGCACGTGACTGCACGCCGCCGCCGCCACGGCGTCACGGTCCGGAGCTGGTGCCGCTGCCCCGCGTCTCGCCCCGCCGCCAACGGAGCCACCAGTGGCGCAGACGTGCGGCGCGCACCAACCCCCCAAGAGTGTCTTTTGTACGTATTTTACGAGTCAATTCTTTCCCTACACAATCGGACGATCAATGTTAAGTTCGCACGAAAAGTGAATAAGCAATTCCTTCCTCGCCCCAAATACCCAAAGCATACATTCTCCGAGCCTGCACGCTTTTTCCACACACGTCGTCTGCGGCGCTATTTTCGAATGAAGGAAAAAAATAGGAAAAAATAATTGATCTATCGGCGGGGATTGAAACACACGCAGCACATTAAAATAGTCAGTGCCTAAGGCTATATAACATTCGAGGTGGCTGTCTGGGAAACCAGAGGCACAGGGTTCGATTCCCCGCAGTTCGATTCCCCCTTCCTTCCAGGGTGAGAGGCATGCTATGCCATATAGCCTCAGAAACTGAGTGCGTCGTAAAGCTCCAGTGAAAACTATCACAATCAAGGTGGCTGAAACAGGCAGTCGGGCGAGCTTGTGTGAGTGGTGAAATCTCAGCTTAAGTAAGGTCATTCACTGCAATTTATAGATGATTTAGTTCTTTGAAGGCACCCATTGACTGCCATGCATTTCGTTAGGTCAATTTTTATTTAATTAGTATCATCAATTTCCCGTTATTTCAAAATAAAAATGTTTGTTTTTTGCAATAGAATGTTTGGTTTAACGCCCTCATCTCAGGCTCCATTAAAGGTTTCCACGTCAAAAGTTTCGCGGGCAGCACATTAACGACGCAACTCATGCTACCAAAACTTCGGCGCGCACCACTGCTACTAGTGAAAGTAAATAATGTCAAAACCTCCGCACAACACTTGTCTACTGACAAATAGATAGGCTGTCAAGGCCTTCACTTGGCGATTCTTCTGCGACCAAAGTTCCTACACGGGAATGACTGCCATGAGTGTGGACGACCCGACCCTAAAAGCGTGGACGTTCAAAACTACGCGTGTTACGCGTCTATTCTGCTACTGACAGTAATCCCACACTACAATACTTTTATAAGCACTTCCAGAGTCAAAGCTTCTACGGGCCTGAAGCTTAACATGCTAAACAAGTAAGCAACACAACACGACCGCAATACAAACAGCTGAAATAGCCTAACCTACCCAAATAAAGAACGGGCCGACTTAACCTGCACGCGAGATTGCTTTATCCTGTTTCGATGCGTTTCTATAATCAAAACGAGCAGTGGTGCAGTTGTTGCATACGGTGGTTTTGGTGAGTAGCAACGGTGTGACGTTGAAGCTTTATCCGTAAGTACCGAGTCCTGTAGTGCCTTTCTCTGTGGAAGGTATATGGCGTGGAAGCCTTGATGGTAGGAGTTTTGCTGTTAGAACTTAGGTCGTGTGAATGCTTCTCTCCGCAGTAGTTTGGAATTTTGGTAGTTGAGGTCAAAGAAAAAATATGTCGAGAAGAAGATTTTTCCTTGGTACATACCAGTCTTGCCTGTGCAACTGTAGCAAATTTAGCAATTTGTCTACCACGCTAACTAAAAGTTTTCCAGGGATGATGTTGGGATCAGGATTCTTACTAAGCGTAGCTTGCTGCGAAGGACCCTACCATGGCACCAAAAATAAAACTAGCTCAGCGTTACAGACAACTTTTGGCCACGAATGCTCTACCACATCGAAGTGATTTCGAAAGGATTTTGTCGGCAGACGTTTTTGTAACAAGAGCCAGGTCGTAGCACATCTAACAGCACATTAGTCCCACGCCCACCGATCAGTCTGAGTGTGAGTACCGTTTGAACTTTGCCACGCCTTACAGCTGGAGACAGTGTATAAAATCGGCGGGTCTGAGTAATGTCGACAGGCGGTGCCTGCCGGTCAGAGTCGTGCCGACAGGCGGTGCCTGTCGGTCTGAGTCGTGTCGACAGGCGGTGACTGCAGGTCTGAGTCGTGTCGAGGGGCGGTGCCTGCCGGTCTGAGTCGTGTCGAGAGGGGGTGCCTGCCGGTCTGAGTCGTGTCGAGGGGCGGTGCCTGCCGGTCTGAGTCGTGTCGAGGGGCGGTGCCTGCCGGTCTGAGTTGTGCCGAAAGGTGGTGCCTACCGGTCTGAGTCGTGTCAACATGCGGTACCTGCTGGTCTGAGTCGTGTCGACAGGCGGTACCTGCTGGTCCGAGTCGTGTCGAGAGGGAGGCGGTACCTACCGGTCTGGGTCGTGTCGGCAGGCAATGCCTGCTGGTCTGAGTCGTGTCGAGGGGGAGACGGTACCTTCCGGTCCGGGTCGTGTCGAGAGGCGGTGTCTACTGGTCTGTGTCGTGTCGGTCTGAGTCGTGTCGAGAGTCGGTGTCTACTGGTCTGGGTCGTGTCGAGAGGGAGGGGGTAACTGCCGGTCTGAGTCGTGTCGAGAGGCGGTGTCTACTGGTCTGGGTCGTGTCGAGAGGGAGGCGGTACCTGCCGGTCTGAGTCGTGTCGAGAGGCGGTGTCTACTGGTCTGGGTCGTGTCGAGAGGGAGGCGGTACCTGCCGGTCTGAGTCGAAATACACGGGCCGCCGCGACTTGTATCGGGCGAGCCATGTCCGCTATCGGCGGGCGCCGCCGACTCACCCTGGCCAGAAGGCGGCCGCCGCGCACCGTCAGACCGACGCCCGGCGCGAACCGCACCTCCACACCCGGCTCCAGCTCGACGGCGCCGCTCGGCTCGATCAGCACGTCAACGCTGGCCAGGTACGGCGAGCCGGCGCGGCCCCAGCGCACCCGGCCGCGGTACACGCCGCCCACCTCCGTGTCGGCCAGCGCTGCGACCAGCGCTCCAGCCAGCACCGCCAGCACCGCCAGAGAGCGCATCACGAGACGGCCTCGCCGCGTTCCAGGCACGCAGTCACACAGCCGTCACACGGGCCGGACCGTCAGCGGGTCGCCGCACGTGGCCGCAGGCTATAGGCTATCCCACCTCAGCGCAGCTCGCGGCGCAGACTGGGCTGCCGCGCGCGCCGCCAGCCAACCGCCTACCGCTGGTGACGCGGGAATGACGTCATACTGGGTCAGCGGCGCGTGCTGTCGGGGGAGGGGTACCATTGTGTGCCGCTGGTGAAGAGATAACAACCCCGATGCCTGTGGCCTGAGCCATAATCCACCATTACGTTGGTGTTATTTGTGCAAAAATTCCTCGTCGAGAAATGCAAATTAAATCAAAATATCCGTAGTGCGCTTTGAAAACCTGTCGTGGCCTACCGGGTCACGCAATTATGTCAATGTAAAATGCAATGTCATTGTGCTGGAGTCCTCCCGAGGGATTTGTTTTGCCTTGTGCTGTTTTTGCTTAATCAAAACGAGATGGCTTGGAGGAAGGGGGTAGGAGTGGGATGCTGAATGTGTCAGTATGCAAGCGATAAGTGGTGCGTGGTTGGGCAACGCTGCCAACATACAGTGTTTAAATCGGCCTTATGTGTCTGTCCACGCCATTAAGTTAAAGTAATTTTAAGTCGAATTACGTCTTGGCAGTGAATCTTTAGTGCAATCCTGGACTTGCGCACCATATCGTGTGCAACCAAAAACCTTCTGCTACGTCCGGTGCTGGCACGGAATTGAATGCAAAAATACACCAAGCTCAAGAAACTTTTGTTAATTACAGGTGTGTTCTCTCGTTTTCAATGGCATTGACTAATCATCCCTTTGGCGTTCCATCTTACACGTTAATTACTTACGTTTTTCTCACCGCTTTGTTCTTGACAGGGGGGATGTTCCGCTCCTGTTTCAGAATAGGCGTGGGGGACGCATTGCCCCGTCTCCCCTGCCCTGGTGACGCCCACGCTAATTTGAGTGGATTTGAAGAACCAAATCAGTAACGGAGCGGTAACAGAAGTTGGAGGGGTACACGTGCACTTATACACATCAAAACGGGGCCAGCATCACACAAAAATACTTACAACCTAACCTAATCTAGCCTACCATAACGGCACATCAACTATCCTGGCCTTATCTTACCTTGCTAACCCGCTTATCGTCCGGATTTGAGCACAACTGATTACCTGTCGACCCGTTTATCTTCAAACGCATCTACACACCATACAGTGCCGTCTCAGTCTTGGCAGTAGGGTCCTGAGAAAAATGGGCAAAAAAGTTGGGTACGCACACTGCGCGAGCACTTTGGCATGGAACGCCGAAGCTGGGTACCGATCTTTCATTGATCGTCTCTCCACGGCACTGGGAGGAAAATCGTTTAAGGAAGGGGATGGGCGTGAGCGTGTTCCCTATTTGTCTTTGTTTCTTGTCTTACCCCAAGGCTTAACGGTCGGCAATTTTAAGGTGAGATTTTCACCTAGCACTATGCTGCCGGAGGCGGCTGGATCTGGACGTGATAGCTCTTTGGATTGTGCATGAAAATACGATGTGCCGTTATTGAGTAAAGAGCGAGAAAGTGTTTCGTAAATATCCCATGGGCTTAACATGGGCGACTCGAATTCAAAAATGCAGGCAAGCAAAAATCACTCGCGATGTTTTGTGTGAAATGTCTCGCGTTATTGACGTTTCGCGATGATGAGGTGGGAGTTTGCTGAAAGTAGTCCACCGAGGATGCCCTGGCTAAACGACGTTATGAAACAAACAATGGTTGTATTGAGAAAATTGGACGCCTCGAAATTCTGTTCGCGGTCAACTTTCTTCGCAGGAATCAATAAACATCATGCCGATATCTCTTTCACTATTGGCCACGTCACACAAACCGCATCGATGCCATTCCTTGACACCCGTTTTGTGATGCAATCAGATGGACGGCAGGACGGACCCTTACCATACGGCACTATGATTCAGCACACCCTGTGCGCGGGTGTGCCATGAAGCAACTCAAGAAGTCACGCCTTTATTAGAGGCCATGGCGTCTAATGAAGCGTTCCGTATAGGTATCCCAAATGCGGGGAGCGGTGCCAGCATTTGATGTCCCCAATCGTGTGGGTGCAGTTGTGCTTGAGTTTACTTTATTTTATGTGAGACGAAACACACATGCCCGTAACACCGGGTGAAGTCCGCTGCTTGTGCAGCACGTTTTCATGATATAAAAAACAGCGGCATACGCACAGAGTAGATCCCCGGGGGCATGCTTCTGCTTAATAAATTTAGCGGAGAGTGGGGTGAGCTGTATGATGTTTAAGCAGCATCAGGGCCATTGATTCTAAATTTATGCGACAGATGCCGGTCTTGAGTCACTTGGCTGACGCGCAACAGCGTCTTGCATCTTTCAGAGCACTTCCGGCTGCATACGTTCACGCGTTTCGGGATGAGCTCTGCATTTTTTTCATATCGCTGAAACTCCGGTGATTAGTAGAAATGTATGCTCAAGGTCTTAACGACGTAGCCAGACTAATCTGAACGTTTTGCTGAGTGGTGGGAAGTACATGTGCCGCACATGCTGCGAAACATTTGACGTCTGCTTGCTAAGGATTTCGACGTAGTGCAAACATCCCTTCAAGATGACGGGCAGAACATGCTGTACCAGCTATGAAGAAGGTATGTCGTATCAGTGATACAATGTGCCGGCAATGATTTCACTGGATGCTTTACTGTCCATGATTGACTCGCATAACTGCCATGACTTAAAGTCATCCAGGCAATAAGTCAGCATGTAGGTACAGTGCTTATATAGATACATAATTACCAACTGAGCAACCGAAATCGTGGTGGCGGTAGTTGTGACACAAACGCTCACTGATCAGAAATGGCAGATTTTTGTCATCTCACAATCAAGACGAATTCTGGAATGACAGACGTGTGTATCATTTGTCTACATATCGTAACACATTCAGCTTCCTTGCGATGCAGCCTAGTCCACGCAACAACAAAACAGTGCAAGCTACCCCACCATGTGACACCACTCATCCCAGGGTGAGACAGGTCGTATCATTTGAAAGGGATGCATGCACAGGTCGTTTACCAAAGACTGAAGTCATGCTCTCTAAAATATTTGCACTTCACGTAAACCTGCAGGTATCTGTCTTGATGTACACGCATCTTAGCCCCATCCTAAACAGTTACAGCAAGTGGGAGCTCACAGTAAAGGCTGATACAATTCTCCCTACGCTCACCTATGGTATGCATCAATATGCAAATGACTAGCTGTTGAATGCTAGGCATTCCAAATAGACACGTACACAAAACAAGATTGAGAACATGCGCCGTTGTTTTACGATGCACAAGATGCGCGCGACTGCCGTGCGCTTAACTGTTTTTTATTTTTGAGCTGTGCCCCCATCCCTCGGATGCAAAATACTGCGTACGCCCTTAACAATGCATCAGATTCGCGATGAAGTCGCTATAAATTTGAAACAAACAAATTATCCATGAAATTCCTCCACTTACATCGCAAACCATCTAAACAGGTGAATGTCGTAACATCGAGGGTAATGTGATCCTTGATGAGGTGATGAGGGTAATGTGAACCTTGGGGCAATGTGATCTGGTGGTACTAATATGTCAAGTCCATGGCGATGTAATGATCCCTGGAGACCCCTGCGTGTTCGCTGAGATTGCAGTTTGCCGGGCACGTGTCGATCGACTGAAAACAAAATGCACACGGAAGAACGTAGCATATAAAGTCTTTTGAAATCTCTACCGACAAATATTAGGGGAAAGCGGGGCAAGACGGACACCTTAACGGTTTTTTAATGTGGGAAGTTCACAAGTCTGTACAGACAGTCTTTAGCACGTGGATATTGAAGGCTGATCAATTACCTTCCTTTTATACAAGCGCTGCTTTGATACCACTTCATGTTAAAGTGTGATTCTCCTAAACATCAGGCAATGCATTTTTTCTCATTTTGCCCCTGGCTTGAGACAAAACGAAGTAGTATTCGGGGCAAAACGGAGAATTGATCAGATTGAGTAAGCGAAATAAATATTTTCAAAGTTATCATTTTTTAATGAAAACGCATCCAATAACTGCATTGCTCGGTGAGTAGGTATTTGTCTGGACATCCAATACCTATATTTCTTAAGTTTGGGCTCTCACCTTTTGTTCGAACTATCCCACTCCATACTCGTTTCCTTAGTATGATCCCACGAATAAAAGTCATAATGGCCAGCAAATGTGTATTTCACCTTGGTATGAAGCGACAGCCATTGCTGTATGGCTTAGACACAGAAATAGAGGAACACAGCCTGGTAGTTACACAGTGAGACGACAACGATCGAGTCTCAAACACACAAGTCTTCGAGCAAAGTTCGCTCAGGAACGCTCACTCGTTCTTCTTATCAATCCACTTCTTAGTCACTGTGAACGAAAAACACGAAAAGAGCACAGCCTAGTGGACCCGTTCATCAGGTACGACCAATGGCAAAACTAGACAAGACATCAGCCTGCCTGGTCATCCCGGCACAGCTCGCACACGAACACGCACTCGTCGTCTTCATCAATCCCTGCACAGGTATCGTGCGCCCATTTATCGCAGAGAGCACATCGCGACCAAGACCCGCTCAATTTGGACATGGAGAAGAAGGGCCCGCAGTGCATACAAGCTACATCTTCTTCGTCCGAGGACTCCTCGCAGGTAAGCTTTCGCGGCGTACGCTTCTTTTGTTTGCGCTGCGGTTTCTGAGTTTCTACACTCTCCCCTTTTCTTCCTTTAGGCTGACTTCTGTCGTCATTTTTCTTTCCTCCCTGTCTACCTTCTTTTCCTTCGAGTCTCTTTTCGCGTTCCTCCTTGTATGGTGTGCCAGTCAAGGCACGTGTTTCACCTTTCTTTCGTCCTTTACCTCCCTCCTCCCTTGAGTGTACTTTTGACACAGGGAGGATTTCGCGGGGAGACACATAGGAGCTTGCGGGTGTGTCACTTTGACCTTGGGAAGCATGGCTCGGTCCAGCTGAGCATAAAACTTCTAGAACGTCATCCTCGTCATCGCTAGAGCTTGAGAAATCATCTGGCAGAGCCCCAGCGGTGAGCAACTTCGCCGGAGTCCCGGCGTTTGTCGAGCTTCCCTCCCCCGATATTCCAGCCTGCGTTGCGTCTCCGGCGACAGTTTCGGAGGACTCCCGAACGTTCGTGCTCACCGAGACATCAACGTTAGAGGGCCCAGGCTTGGGCAGAGGAGCTGCTGCTGAGTTGAGACCCACTGGTGCGTCTGCGGTGCCGGTAGGATGTTCGTTGTTTCTGCCGCTGCGAAGTCTTCTTCGCCAAACACATGGCGGTTTGTGGGAAAGATCCCCGTGACTTCGAAGCCCTTCAACATCGTCTTCACTGTTACCGCCTGCACGTAGACTGACCCGATCATCTCCCCCATCTCAAACAGTGTGATGACTTTACCAGGGTTGTTTCGGAGCCACGTTCTCTGACCATGGAAGAAGGTGCTGAGGAGAAGCATGAACGTCCGGTCCAGTGATTCAAGGCGGTGTGAGGTGTGCGGAGGAATGGTGAGCATCACCACACCTGCTTCCCTGCACAGCAGGATGGCTGCGATGCTCTTGGTGTGGCTGGCATGTCCATCCAGTATGAGAAGGACTGGATCCTGTCTCGAGGGCTTCGTGTGCTGTATGAAATGGTCAAGCCATTTCACGAGCAGCTCCTTCTGCATCCAACCAGACTCATGGTACAGCACCAGGCAACTTGAGGGAAAACCCTTCTCCAACTGCTGGTTGGCCTTCTTTCTTGGTAACATCGCACCTGGAGGTATGTAGCTCCCCACAGCGTTGGTACACATCACCCCGGTAACCAGCGTGCCTCGTTCCGCAGATGTCGGTTGGCGGACCTGCTCGCACCCTTTCCTCGCCAGCACGTTCTCTTCTTTTGTTGCGACCGTGTTGAATCCCGTTTCATCCATGTTGTAGATGCGTGTGGGACCGAACTGGGCAGAATCCATCTGCGACTCAAGGTTGTCGAAGAACGCGTTGACATTTACTGAGTTGAACGCCGCGGCGCGAGCAACCCTTGTGGCCCCTGGGGTCTTTGGTGAGACCGTGGGGTTCCTCTTGCGGAAGCATCGTATCCATGCCTCCCCTGCCATCTTCGTCACCGTGTTGAATGGGTGAGTGACTTTGTTTCTGTCTGTGAACTCATATGCTAGCTTCTTGAGGTCAGTCAGCGTTATTCCGAACATCCGGTTTTGGAGCTCCATTATGTGCTGTACCAAATCTCGCTCCTGAGCTTCCGTGAAAACAGGTTTGTGTTGGCCCAGGGCCTTCTCTGTGGCCTCTGTTATTGACATTGCCCGTGCCTTTTTCAGCCGTATGTCGGGAGTCGACTTCGGGACCAAAAAGCGGCGTGCCGCTTCTTTGGTAGACATTTTTCCCACTTTGAATGCTTTTATGGCCTTGGCCATCGTATCGTGCTTCCAGGATTGCCGATCGGTTTTTATCTTGTAATTTCGAACCACTCTCCGTCTGGTGAAGTAGTTCCTCTGTAAAAAAAAGAACGTCAGCATAAACGTTGAAAGGATTTGGGAAGGTCATTTGCTCCTTAAGCCCCCCTCCCCCCCCCCATACCACCCATTCCTGGACCCGTCAGTGTACCCATATTCCTTTTTATTAACTAGGAAAACGTTTACCTGCTATGAAAAATTAGCTACAATTATCAAAGCAAAATACCTAACTGCATGCCTATAACTAGTTGGTAACAGGACATTTCATTTCTTGTGTTAAATTGGTTACGATTAATATTAAGGGCGATATGATAAAACACCTTCTGTGTAATACTATACAATAAGTGAGTCCTACTGTTTAAGGAACAAGAAACCGTTGAACTATTCAATAACTCAAAAACAAAATATTAAATCGTATATGTTTAGAGGGAATGTCAGGCTTTTCCCCACTTTATTGGAGTTAGCAGCGTTTCTGGGCACAACAGGATAATTAAACATTCAAACTTACTACAATTTGCTGGGTCTTGCCCTTACGCAGAGGAAAACAACTCAAATTTATTTTTTATGCCAGTTCTGTCAGACAGAATACCTATGCGTTAGTACTTACGCCAGTGCCTGTGTATGCAGAGAAATACACCCTTCAAATGTACGGAAAGTACGAAAAGTGCTGTGAGTTTTATGCGATAATGGCCAAAAATGTACTAACTTTTCACCTTTTTCATAGCCTGAGCTACTTTTCAAGATACTTTTTTCGTAACTGGCCGGTCGGAAGTAGTTGCTTGTTTGCTGACCAACAAGTTATAGAGGCTATCAAAGAGATGGGCAAATGTGTGGTGCTGAATCAAGTCATCACAGGTAGGTACTTACAATTCTGATGTTCACAAAGAAGCTTTGTTAAACAACATAATTACAATAAATTAGGCCTAAAATGAACGATAAATATGGAGCTATCACACGCGCACCTTCATTAAATTATAAACGACACATCGCAAGGCCGCATATTCCAGTTTGACGCAGTAGTTCGACCACTATTTAATCATAGAACTGAAACAGGATCAATTCGCTTGTTTCGGGCTCTACTCACGTGCCTGCACTGGCATTGAAACATTGTGTTCATGGCTTGTTTAAGCCAAACTTTCCTTGCGATACTCATATGTCAGGTGGGGCAAAACGGGACCTCGTGTATCCTATTTTCCCCCGAGTGCCCATTTTGCTCCAACTATTCTGCCTCATGGACGCCAACAACACAGCATGATTCGACACGCAACGAAAATTGGCCCAAAAAATTCCCAATTGCCCACAAGGAATCTGCATGCATACACCATCAAAGCGCAGCAGCTTTGAATTCATGATTCATTATACTCGTAGAATAAACAACGTTCAAATCACCATAAAATAATAACAAAAAATGGGAATCGAAAACTCACGTCCCCTTTCAACGACGGCCGCCGACAGAAAGGCCCGGTGCACGCCATTTCCGTCCCCTGTCAGAGAAGCTTTAGTTTAAACCATTGATTTCCGATGGCGCCACCTTTAACAACCGAAATTGCGGGGTGTCCTTTTAATCAGGGTGTCTCATTTTACCCCGTTTTCCCCTACATGGAGACGGAATAAAAAACAACAACAAAAAAACAAAAACAAAAACAAAAATGAAACATAGCATTCATTTGCGACCAATTTTGTGAACACTTTGGATAGGAAAATTCACGGAGAGCGTGCAGACCACTGCATACACGGATAGTGGCCTGGTATGCAGCGATAGAGTACGGTGCATGTGATGACAAATTTGCCAACAGATGCCAACCTTTGAGTAGAAAGCTTGGCAAAGAAAGACAACACAGATCTCAGAAGATGACAGTTGTTGTGACGACAACTGTGTATAACAACTGCAGTTATCTTCTCCCGAGGCTGAACAAACATCGCTTGGGGCTTTGAACCCCTTCTGCTTAGATTTTGAATATTTTAAGATAACTTTTTAGCAACGTTGTTGAAGGAATAGCTGTTGCGCAGTTTAAAAAGGGTTCTGTAGTCGTAGCCGTGTAGTCTGACAGTGACACCCGTCGGCAAGCTCTTTGTTATGCTTTTGCTCTGTACGTGTACTCGATGGTAGCTGCTAATGCCTTTTGGTTTAGTAGTCTGCGTTTTGACCTTGGCAAAGTGCCGGCATTGGTTCACAAGTTTTAAAAGCCTAAATGACTGGAATGCTCATAAAGTTCGTGTGATGTTTTTTAGTCATGACGTTCTTGGGAAGTAATTGTCCACCCTAATAAAGCCGAGCTACTTTAAAACCCACCACAATGTGCTTAAGCCCTACCATATAAAACAGACTATTTTTCCCGATACGGGTGTTGTCTCGAGAAAACCCTGCCACTATTTGCAGTGGTCTAACATGTAAAAGAGTTGGAAAGGCAAAAGATATGTAGGGCCTCCGCAGGGCATCATGCAGTACAAAATTAACATGAAAGTAACAGTTGTGTTTGAACATGTAGCGTACTGGTATTTCAGAAAATTTTCCGTAATTTTAAATTTCCTTGGTGCAGCAGTCCTTTTTAGCCCATATTCAGTTGTGGAGGGCGAGCTCAGAGGAGCGCTGGCAGAGGGGGTGGGAGTTAAGTCAGGATTGTGGGAGGGGAGCCCGTGAAAGTATGTAAGTGGCACACCTACTTAAATCCCTGAGACCTCAGGTGCCTTATGTCCATGCCGATAAAACAGTGGTGCATATATATATATATATATATATATATATATATATATATATATATATATATATATATATATGTATGTATGTATAACCACAACATAAGTGTACTATATCTGAAAATTTTCGCATCTGTTCTCTAGCGGCGACTTCTAAGACTCTAGCCCCTCAATCATTTTGAGAACCGATACCCATGGCGCTAAGGACACAGATTGGGGGAGGGGGAGAGACAGGGGTAGAGCCGCTTTTTTGAACCCCCGCCCCACCAAAACTCCTGTGGCGTCGCCCCTGCGAAATCGCCAAATCCAGTCACCTGCTGGTTTTTCAGTCCCTGTACTCCAACGCAATTTGCCGCCACATCGTCTTACCCGCGGCAGTTTTGTCATCTGTGGTATTTACAAAATGATACCGAATAGGCAGACAAATAATGATAGCCAAAATAGATGGTTAAGTCCATGCTCCTTCCGAAATCCTATTTCAAAATTCATTTAAAAGATGTAATATTTATACTGGCAGTAATTTAGATTTTCTATCTGTTGAAATCAATCAATATTTTAAAAATAACAGGCTTAGTTCTTTATGGTTTGTCCTAGTGCTCTGAAAGCCGTGCCACGGCGTATATAAGTGATCGCGTTGCGGCGCCGCGGACGGGAGGGTCCGCCGGAAAGGGCCGTTGGGGCTGGGCGGCGTTGGGGGATCGTCAGGATGTCTCATGTGCATTGTCATTCGCATGCCATTGTGGTAAGGCGTGTTACGGATATAATCTCGATCTGTTGTGGGCCCAATACACGTGCAACGCATTCAGGATTGTTGACCGTCTGTACGCTTTCCCCTCTATAGCGTGTCCGACAAATTCAGGCATCGCATAGGCGCATGTATGGGTTGGGTGTATCAGCTATGTATAGTTTGTGGTTGAGTGCGTGAAATTTCCATTGTGTACTTAGCTGTGTAGCAAAGTCTTCTGCAGTAGGGATGTAAATCTATCATGCTGAAAGTACCCTGTGGGCATGAGGTGCCGCAGTGCCTGCGCTGGGTACAAATACTCACCCACCATGCTTGCTTTTGCAGCCTGGCTAAGTAAAGACTGGCAAAGTCAAGGTATACATTGTTATCTCATGTTAAAAAAGAGTGTTGTACATCAATCAGTTTGTCAGGCAGAATGGTCTCCTGTATTGTTTGTAGATTGGTCAACGTGGTGGGGAAATCTGACGTTTTGGGTGGGAATGAAAAGCAAAATGAGAATATGGTGGCTAAACAAAGCTTCTTAATATGGTATGTATATATGGCATGGAAGATGGATGCCAATGGGACACTGGGTTGAAGGGGATAGGGTGGGGGTTTAGGTTAGGTTGTTAGTCTAGGTTAGGCTAGGCCAGGTTAGGTTTGGTTAGGTTGGGTTAGGCTAGGCTAGGCTAGGCTAGGCTAGGCTAGGCTAGGTTTGGCTAGTTTTGGCTATGTTATGGACTATTCTGGCCTGTCTGTTTCATGAACATACCTAGACATGATAAGAAGTGTTTTTCATTGCATTAGTATTGTTTCTTTGGCCCCATACATTTTTTATAGTTCTTGGTAAGCATAAATATTGTAATTACACAATGGTAAACACAAAAACAGTGCTGGTGGGGTGCGTGCGGCGCTCAGGGGCTCTGCTATCATAGTTATTAAAATTTGAAGGTAGGAGCATGAATCTACCTGTTTTATGATTATGTGCAATATGTTCTGCCTTAAACATGACAAATGATGTGCAATGATTTTTTTTAACAGGTACCAATGTATACCTACACCACCGGCAAAGCTATCTGTAGTATTGTATTACGGCCAGCGTTCACTGTGAAGGAGTTAAATGTGTGGTGGCTGGCATGTGTTGTGTCAAGCAGGGTTTAGTGCCATGCTTCAGGGTAGCAGATCCTAAATTTTGTTTGGTTGGATGTCAATGGTTGTACTTCCAAAGTTCACTCACCAGCTTCAGTATTTTCTATCACCTAGCATCAAACAATGCTTTGTTGTTTAAATCTCTGCTTCAAAACATTATTTTAGATATGCTGTATCTTATATGTTTTGAATGCATCATGCTTTATCCCAACTAGTTATCTTCAAAAAAGTGCTCTGGTATTTTTTTTGCCTTTTGATGCTGATTTGCTTCAAAATTACTAGTACGTCTTGGTCTTGTTGAGGTTGAAAATAAACATGAATGCAACACTCTATCTTGCTAACATTTGTCCACCAGGGACTAGTTCATAGTAAAAAAGGTGTGCTGAAGGTATTAACATTCATATTTCTGGCTGAGACTGCTATGAGCAAGGATATAGGTTAATTTGCAGGCCAAACTTAAATATATATATATATACTCATTGCAATAAAGTATTAAGGAATGAATCATAGACAGAGCAAATGATATTTGTGTACTGTCATCAATAGCATGGTATCATTTGAAGTGATCAGTCCTTCTACCAGCAATTGGGTTGTTGTAACAAAGCTTTCCAATCACAGGGTGTTGCTCTAGAAAATGCTATTTTGGTGGTCAGGACCAACACCCAGGTACAAGTCAACATTGTGTCAGTTTAGGCAGGCACATAACCTGCAGAGAATGCATCAGGTACTTAATGAATGATATGGAAGTATACACAATTGATGGATCTTTGTGAAGGTCCATAACAAATTGTCTGACCAATCAGAGCTTATCCTAGCCTCAACTTGCAGATTGGGGGAGGAGGTGGGGGTATGGGGTAGAGACAGGGTTTCTCTTGTGCATTGCTGACAAGGTGTGGAGCTTGATGTTTGGATATTTGTGTCATGTTGTGTTTTCAAAATGACAGGTTATACCATTTGTTGAGCAGTGTCACTGTCAACACCCATGGGGGGGGGGGAGGAGGGCAGGCCCCCCACAATGCTGTTTTTCCCCCATTTCACATAGACAAAAAGGAAATAGTGATTAGTCTTGAAAAATATTGATTAAAGTCTGTCTGGATGGCTCAGTTGGTAAGAGCACCTGCATTCCGATCCAGCAACCGGTGGGGGATGGGTTCAAGTTGCATTAGGGCGCTGGATATTTGCCCTTGGCAGGTATGGCCTGCAGCCGGTGGGCAGCGGTGGGCTAAAAGGTCAGGAAAGGTCAGTTGACATCAGAGGGCAGGACGGACTGTGCCGAGCATTGCTGCATGTAAAGCTTTCGCCATTAAATTCTGCCATTGCCTGGAATTGCGCAATCAGATGGTGGGGGTCAGGGCTCGCACAACAAGCACCGCTTAGCGTGAGTGCTGATGAAAAATTAAAATGGAATGTAGGTTCACTAGGTGCCTTCCTGAAGACATCATCATTGGTTTCATGGTAATTGTGCACATCATAGTATTGTGTAGGTACCTTATTTGTTGTCATTCCATTCCTTTATATATCATCTCAGCAGGTATTGGCAGGTTTTTCACATGATAAGAACCTTACTGCAGCATAAAAGCACAGCAATATCCCATAAAAGCATGATGGCATGCAGGAGCTTTTGGAAAAGGAGTTTGTTGCATTCACCTGTTTCCACAGCTTGCTATCTGTAGATAGAAGTTTCTCAAACTATGAAGCTTATTATATGTGCAAGGTGACAGCCACCTTGGCAAATTATTGTATAGATTATGTTACACTGGCATGTATACAGTGTTTTTTTGACAGCTCTCAGGTGGCATTAGGTACCATTTTCAACATCATTTGTTTGGAGTAACATTTAAATGATGATTGGCCATGTTCTGTTAAAGAAGAAAGCAACAAGAAATGTTAGGGTTACAAATAATGTTATAAGGAAGTCATGGATACCTGGTGTAGGTGAGCAGGATTGTTTTGCAAATACAGCTTATAATATAACCAGTATCAATTGGCTCTCAATCAAGTTGAGATGCAGGCTGTGGAACTTGAAATTATGAATCACATTTTGTGCCATGTTGAGAAAGAAAGTGGACATCATTGCTAATTATACAGAAATAAGACTTGTAATCAAATAGGTCAGCAATAGCACCATAGTCAAGTAGGTGAATGCCAGCAAACACCTTGAACTTACAGATATAAATGAAGGAACACTACAGGAAAGGGCTCAATTGCAAGCACGTAATGAGAAAGGGTCTAAATGCGTGCACATAAATATTTTGTTCAGCAGTCACGTCCAGAAATGCCAAGGCCACTTCATTGGAGATTGAAGTACTACAAGTGATTGCTAGGGTGGCAGCTTCATGCCAGGGGGGTGGTTTGATGCAGCTAGTTTGGCAGCACCTCAATGTCATATAAACTGTCCATGACACAATGAAACAGTGACAGTGAGGAGCATATCTGCTAAAAAGAAGAGTGATGTGTTTTCCACTTGTAGGTGTGCAGACAGTTGTAAGTGAGCTTTTTTTTATCATATGCCATGCTTGCTTTGATATCTTCAACTGTGGGGCATTCCTTCAACCCTACCCAGGAGAGTTGAAAGTCAGAGTTGCTGTGTTTATGATTGGTGATAACCATGAGTACAGGTCCAAAATAATAAAATCTCCTAAACATTGGCAAAAAGCAAGAGGCTCAAGGTTGTGCTAGTTTGTATAAAGCCTCTGCATGATTGTTTGTATGGTTTATAGTCTAGGTTGTATTGCAAAAATCACCATAGGACTGAAGTGAGCAGTTCAAGATGCAATGCAATGAGACAGAGCCATACATCTGAAACCAGGGTCACAGCCAGGGGTAAAAAATGAGCTGAAGCTTATGTGTTAATGAGTAGATGTGATCTGCTACTGCACAGAACAGTTTTGTCATTGATGCAATAAATTGTTTATAAAGGTAAAATGTGTATAATGTGCAGTTCTTCACATATGATGTTGTGTGTTTAGTGAGTGCATATGCCTGTAACAAGGCATGATATGACCTGTCGTGCTATAAACATGTTACTGAGTCATGCTGGTACACCAATGGTCTGCTTCATGACCACAATGCTGCTCTAAATGGTGAGTTTAATTGGTGAGAGTCATTGGCCATGTGAACAGGTTTGCCCTTATTTTCACCCCTAAACACCCTTGTGACCAAATTGTAAATGCACCCAACACTGCATAAATCTGGCAGTGTCCTGCAGCACAGTAAAGCCACCTGCCTGTGCTGATGTGCGGTTGTCTGCCGTGCAGGGCCAGGTGTACAAGTCGGTGGTGAACGACACAATCGCAGCCGTGCGCAGTTACTTCCTGGACGAGGGCGTCGACGAGCAGGTGCTTCAGGATCTGAAGCAGCTGTGGGAATCGAAGCTGAACCAGAGCCGCGCCGTCGACCTCAAAGAGACAGAGGCCTCCAGTCAGCAAGCCAGTAAAGGTGCGATGCACGGAGTGGTGGCGGCGGGGTGCAGGCGGAAATTAGTTAACGTGTGCTGGTGACGGTCCCGCATGTTCTGCGTCTGCATATGCCCGCCTGTGTTCCGCATTGTGGGCGAAGGCTGCCGCGCTTTCCCTCGCCGGGCGGCATATCACGTGTGAGAGCTTGCCGTCAGCGGTCGTCAGCGGGCGAGAGGCTGGTGGCGGCTGTTTGGAGAGGTGGCACTGGCCGGGCTGACAGTCGAGTGCCAGCTGGAGATCTCTGAGACCCCGGTTGTCGGATGGCATCGGCGGCTTGGCCGGCTGACCAGGTGACCGGCCAGTGTCGGCCGGGGTCTCTGAGTCTCTGCCTGCCGGATGGCATCGGCGGCTGAACTGGCCTGGGCCACATATGAGCAGATGCCTACCATGCGTTTGTGCCAACGCAGCGGCAATACCCACGACTCAACACCAGTGGTCGTCCCTGTCCAGTTTGACCCATCTGCGTGGAATCCGCGTTTTAGTGTGGTTTACAGCATGACATACGCATGTGACAGGATGCCCTCAACAACACTCAACTTCTAATGCTGTTCCCACATGTTTTCGCACCTTACACCGTCTCATATTTCACAGTCACACAATATTACACTAGCCACGCGCAGGTCGCTGATTCTATATTGTCGCCTTGAACTTATCCAGTTCTTTGTGGCGGCGCAAAGCCATCAAAACCATAGCCACAAGATTGATGCGACGTCCGGTTGCAATTTTTATGTAAAGCTTGAATTCGCGCCAAGGTCCATGATATGTACCACAACAAAGTGTGGTCAAATATAGGACAATTGGTTATATGATGCAAAACTGGTGAAAGCAGGCAAACTGAACAAAGATCTAGCAGATTATCCCCGATATGGTTGGTGGAGTTGGCAGATTGCTCCGGCAAACCCTCTGATCCATGTGCGTGTTCTGGCTGAATAGTGGTTCGACTGAGACCATGACAAAGATAATGTATCGGGTGCACTGTCGCACTTTTTGCGCAAAGTGTGTTCCCAAGCTGTTCAGACAAGAGCAAACGGCCACCTGTCGTTAAGGCGGTGTTATTTTGTTTTCAACGCATGCCTTCAGGTCGGAAAAGCCCCCTCCCCCCACCCTAAGGGATATCACGGGAGATGGGTGTGGGTTTACCACTGCCAACAGGAGATAAGGCGTCAGTCCATGGGCTTGAGTCATTCTGGATCCCCCTCACCAGAAGAGTTGAGAGCTGTTTGTCCTGCATGGAAGCCATAGTCACCATGTTCTGAGACCAAGCGGGTTCCCTCGGTGGATTTCCTCGAACGTGAAAGGTAATTAACAGCGACCGTTGCATAGGGATGCTGCAGAAGCTGGCCATTCGAGAAAACGCCCGGCCAGCGGCCGAACAGCTCGGGCAGCGAGCCGTCAGACTTCCATCTTTTCCCCTCGGGGTCACCACTTCCAAGCTGGCGCCGGGGTCAAGTGCGCCGCGAGGAATTGGGTGAAGGGGACCGAAGCAGAGTTTTTCGGACGGGACTTCGTTGTTCGCCCGAGCGTCGGGAACAGTGCGTCCGGGTCGATGTAACTGGGCGAAGAAGAAGCATGTGACCAGTAAGGTCGAGAAAACTACATGACGGTTTGACCATGTTATCTCAAGAAACAATAGTGGTGGGAAAGAAGCGTGTGGTCAGAGTCGTTTAAAGTCGTTCTTGCAGTGCTCTACTTCCACACTATGGGCCGAGCGCCGGGACAATGCGTCCACCTATTTATTGGCAGTAAGACAGCTGGAAAAGGTCTAAGTCTGGACGCGGTGTTCTGGCTGTTTTTTCTGTTTTCTGCCGCGGAAATATGCCTCTGGGTTCGAAGGGTAACCGTGAGCGTGAAAGTGTTCTCGTGAAGAACAGCTAAAGATTGCGTGGGAGTAAAACACCACGGTACATACACGTCATTTTCCTCCGCAAGCTACGCTGTAGAATGTTGTGGCACTGCACGAATGGTCGGGAAACTGGGCTCCGTTTGCTTCTACCCTCTGGCGGCCGCCTCGACAAATAATACAGGAGCATCACCTCCGACTACCACCTGGCGGCCGCCTCGACAAACCTTGCAGTAGGATTACTTCCGACTGCCCACTGGCGGCAGCTTGGACAAATAATGCAGGACGATTACTTCCGACTGTCCACTGGTGGCAGCCTCGACAAACAATACAGGAGCATTACTTCCGACCATCCTCTGGCGACATCCTCGGCAAACAATACAGGAGCATCACTTCCGACTACCCACTGGCGGCAGCCTGCCATGTAAGCCTCAAGTCAAGATTTTTGAAACCAGGTTTCTTAATATCTCAGATCCTTGAAATGACCCCAAAACTTGTACACATTGAGCTGTCTGTGTTCCTCACTGGGTTGAATGTGGTACCCGTCGCTCCCTCCCATCGTGGGATGGGACAGTCGGTGCTCTCCAGATCAGTGGGGCGTGACGCTCGCTGTTCTGAACCATGTGGAATGTGATGCTCACCGTTCCGCTTGATTTGTGGAATGTTCAACGCGAGGCTCCCCTTTATTTATGGAATGTGAAGCTCGCTGTTTCTCAGCAGCGGAATATGACCCGCTCAGCGACACGGGGTGATATTCAGTGAACATTGTCATAAAGCAGACATATTGTCTATCAACCCATCCCGCTTAACACGGCGGAGGTCTGCGTATGGTGGGGGGGGGGGGGGGGGGTCGAATCTCGGTTGCGCTGTGACCCCTGAGCGCTAACATGGCCAATGCAGTTGCCTGGCGCTCTGTACAAATGGGCGTGACGACTTGCGTTACGTCCATTTTTAAGAAGTATGCGCATGATTAGCGGCGCACGCCTCTAACCGCGACGTCTCTGGCCTTGACGCATCTAACCTCGACGCATCTAACCGTGGTGCTTCTAACCTTGGCGCTTCTGACCGTGGTGCTGCTGACCGTGGTGCTTCAGACCTCAGCGCACTTAACCGCAGCATCTCTGCCTGACTGTAGCTCCCCTGACTGCAGCACCGCTCACTGTAGCACCTCTGACCGCAGCGCCTCTGACCGCAGCGCATCTGAGCGCAGCGCCTCTGACCGCAGCGTCTCTGACTGACTGTAGCACCTCTGACCGCAGCGCCTCTGACCGCAGCGCAGCGGAATGCGGGCACGGCACAGCGCAGCGCGCCGACCGGGACGGTGCCGGCAGCCCCCAGCGGCGGCGCCAGCGGCGGCGTCACCACCGTGCAGCCGCAGTCGCTGGTGCCGATCCAGATTACCATCCCGCCTCAGACGCCTGGTGGACAGAGCAAGACCATCGTGGTCCAGGTCGGTGCTGGGCTGGGCCCGCAGCTCTGGCCTGCTGAGCTGTTGCCAGTGTCGTCCGCTGGCCAGTGGTTGGGATAATTGGCTGTTTGGAGGAGACGTTTGCCGACGAAAGACTGGAACTTAATCAGGGGCATGTGCCAAGACTTTTGGAGCATAGCAGCGTCCTTAGGTGGCCTTCAGCGTCATATTGTATCCACGGGACTGGTACTTTGTGGGCGTCGCCAGTGCGGTAGGGGTGAGGTTACGTTACGAACCTCTGGCTGTTCTGGTCTGGATATAAAGTGACTGCTGTATGATAAATCATCAGCTTGGGAGTATCGGTTCAGCCCTTTTAGCATGTTTGAAAGAGAAACATCAGTTTGAAGGAATTCACAAAGGCCTTCAGTTATGCACTGGTGACTAGGTATCCGTGGGCATTAGACAAGCATGTGCGTCTGGGTTGTCCCATTGGTTGAAATAACGTAAACATTCTTAGTTAGTTTTGGGAAGACGTAGTAAAATTGTGACTGCCTCACCGGACAATAAAGGGTGCCGGTAGTGTAGTGGTTAACGCGTCTGCGTTAACCACTGCGCGTCTGGGAAACCAGAGGTACGGGGTTCGATTCCCCGCGGTGCCCGCCCTTCCTGCCAGGGTGAGAGGCAGGCGACGCCATATAGCCTTAGCAGCTGAGTGCGTCGTAGAGCCCCAATAACACACTCACTGGACAATAAGCTGTGTGTCGCGAAATAGCCTCAGATTTCATAGTCGCTCGGAAGTATTACTGGAGGTGGAGAGCGGGATGGAATCCGCTGTACATTCTGTTTTGTTCACAGACAATTGAACGTTAGCATACATTTTTAAGGAATAAATGCATAAATGTTGAATGAGCCAGCCTGTAAATGTGAAGACCAGTGGAATCTTGACCTATTCACTTGTTGAGGAGGAGCCAGTCAGGTCTTGTCACTTCTGTGCCAATGGATAGGTTTCAAATTGATAAATTCATTTCCAGTTCCAAATTCATTGATAATTGTGATGTCAGTTGTAGCCAATGTCCGGATCATGTGCGAGGTGTATGGATTAGTTGGCCTACATCCCATGATGGTTGGCAGAATAATAGTGTGCTGTTAGTGTCACACAGGGCCTTATTTTTATATTGATGATAGTAACGCTGCATTTTAGTTACATTTGGCATTTGGCAATCTGCATAATATGGAACTTTCATGTAAAACAGTAGCAAAGCAAATCAAATCAAAACAAATTATGATATACTACAGACTCATAAGAGCAATCTTTGAAACTCAGAAGGTGATGGAAGCTTGTCCAATTAAATGATAATGAATGACAGTTTGGTTTAAAGAGTAGGCATGTTACATGTGAAAAGGATTAGGCACTTTGTAGCCAATTAGCATTTGTAGGCGGCAGCACGATAGCGAAACGCCCTCTATGTGGCCGAGAGTTTGCACCTCAGCAGCTCCAGAGCTCTGGCCTCGGATGAGCGGGAGTCCCGGCGAGACACTGCGGATCGAGGGACATACATGCGACGAATCGACAGTGGGCTGAGCTGGTTATAAAGGGCTGTATGCATTTTAAGGACGGCCTTCTCTCGCACGAGCCGCTTCACCTGATACTGACTCAAGGACGCCAGCGCCGGACCGACCCTCTCCCTGCGCTGCACGCTAGTCACGATCTGGGTACGGAAGGTCGAAACACCTGATTTTTGGTTGTTCCGCCCTACACGGAGATGCAGTATAGAATGCGGGGGGAATTTGGGGATCCACGCGAATGTTCGATGTTCCCGGTGGCAGCCGTCAGCATTCAAGTCGGGTCGGCCATGACGCAATACATCGGGAGTGATGGTCATTCCAGCCACCATTTGGCGCGGATACAGGTGCACCCAATACGTGGTACAATCACTCATCGTCCGGGGTCAGGAGAGGCCTCAACGGTACCGATGACTCCCAGGACTGGTGATTGGCTCTGGTCGGTAGCAGAGGACTGAAGGTGTTCCTGCAGTGGGTTTGAAGACCTCGGCGGCGGCGCTGTTGCCGAGTGTGGCCAGCGGCCGGTAACGAGCGCCGTCTGCCGGCCGCCAGGTGCCCGTGTCCGCCGTACAGTCGGGCCTAGCCGGCCAGCACCTGCAGACCATCCTGAGCTCGGCGGCGGCGCAGGCCACGTTCGCGCTGCCGCCCGACATCGCCAGCAACATGCTGCAGCAGCAGCTTAACGACGCACTCCGGCAGTCGGCTGTCCGCCAGGTGGCAGCCGCGCCAGGTGGAGGTGGGTTATGAACGACCACTGACCGACAACTGAGACCCAGTGGTCTGACAGATGTCTGGCCGGCATTACACGGTACCAACACGCGCTGCCGCTCAATTGTCTTTCTTTTGATATTTGCATGGCTCATTCAAAAACTCACTAAAGCACTGGACCGTTTTACGTTCGGACCAGGCACTGGGCAGTGCTGCGCGGATGCTGTGCGTGCTGCCGGTAGCTGGCAACAGCTGCTGCTGCTGCCCGTGATGTTAATGCACAATAGCTTCGTTAGGTCCGGACCTTGGCGAACGTTCGTTGTTCTTTTGAATGCACTTACTGCAGAAAATTCAGTGGAATGTCTAAGTGGAGCGTGGTGAGGGATGATAGTGGAAGTGTTTGATGTGTTTTGTCCTGCGGAGCTGGCGATTCGTTTTGCTGGTAAGCTGCTCAAAGTACCCTGGTGTTCAGTTGAGATTTCTGCTCGAATCGTGCGAAATGAAGATTTGAGTGTGGTTGAGTAACGTTGCCAGTTGGATTGATCCACTTCAAGATATTATGTTGCATCGCGAGTTGAGTCACCTCTTAAACGACACTATCGGATCATGGCGCAATAATTGAAAACATTCAGTCGACAGTGAATCAAACTCGGAGCTGAAGCTTAGTAGTGATGCTTGATTGCGGAATAATGGCTTGAATGTGAACAACGTGATCGACTTGAGCACCCATCACCGATAACATTGCAGCATAATGATAATGGGCTGGTCAAAGGCGCCATGTGCTCTCCAACAGTAAAAATGCGGGCTGCGTAAGCGCAATATTCTACACAATACATCATAACATAGCATGCCTTGGTAGCAACTGTTAGCATGGCTACGAATATGAGTGTAATTATTTTGCAACATCCCGCCCTGCTAACCATAAAAGACACGTTTCTGCATCTTCCGCGATGCAAAAATGTCCTATTATCTCCGGATCTAGAGCTTCTCTCCACACCCACGACCCGTTGGCACCCACGGCAGCATGTGCATGAAGCGAAAATGAAACTAAGGGCAAGAGGGCAGTGCATAGGTCGAATCTAGGCCCACGCAGCCGTTCTCAAAAAGATCACCTGATGCCTTATGCCTCGATGAATAAGGTGCGGGTTAATAGCAACAATTGAGGAATTGGACGTTGTTTATATATGAAACATCCTGATATTGAAATAAGTTTATAGATGAAATGCCTTCCCATTTAAATTTGAATTAAGGTTATCCCAGCGCAAGGACAAAAACAAGACCATAAAAGGAAACGAAATACGACATTTGACGTCCCAGGGTGGATCGACAGGGGAAGGGCGCTGGTGGAAGCACAGGCTTAATTCTGGTACTGCCCGGTATGAATGATGAGCACATTGCTGCGCACGAAGCCCTTTATTTACGGTTCGGAATGCGTAGGGTCTAACATGCACAAGCAAAAAAGATGCTGGTATTTTCCACGCAACCGAACCGTTATCCTCATTCTGCAATGCCGATTGTCTCTTGCACTTGCATTTGCATTTGATTGACAAGCATTCCGTGTTGCAAGCAACCTGCAGGTTCTGCGGCGCAGTAGTGCCTTTGCGTTTGGACATTGTGTAGGTGAGCTGGTCGGTAGCTGACTATTGCGGCAGCAGTAGCTGACGGGACGCGGTGAGTTAGCTCACGTGATCTGCAATAAGCGTGCGATTGGTGAGCCCTCTGCTGATGGGCCGTGCCTCTGTAGATACCTGTGGCCGACGTAAGGAACCGGTAACACGTGTATCTAACCACGGGAGACTGGACAAGCGCGACGCTCCGTCAGTGGTTCGAACCCGCTGCCTCCGGCCGCAGGCAGTCCCGTGCGAGCCGTCCGGCACAGTCGCTGGCTGGTTCCAGCCGCCGCACTGGCGGCCGCGGCGCGGTGCTGGCAGGCGGGTATGGCTCTGACGCTGTTGACAGACGGGAACCGGGAGCGTCGCGCCTTCATGTGGCGGCCACCGCCGCCGCTGCACCCGTGGCCGCCGCGTGCGCCGTTTGGCCTCCTGCCGCCGCCGTCGCGGTTCCACCTGAGCCTGCCGCCCAACTACATGGCGGCCGTGTCCGGCGTCGCCCACTCACGTACAGCGATCTCTCTCTCTCTCTCTCTCTCTCTCTCTCTCGTCCTCTCTCTCTCTCTCTCTCTATCGCCTCTCTTCTCAGCGGAGAGAGCGACTCACTCTATATCTCTGCTCCTCTCCTCCTCTCCTCTATATCTACTCTCTCCTATTCTCTCTCTCTATCTCTCCTCTCTCTCTCTCTCTCTCTCTCCCTCTTCTCTCTTCTCTTCTCTCTCTCTCTCTTCTCTCTCTCTCTTCTCTTTTCTCTCTCTCTCTCTCTCTCTCTCTATCTCTCTCTCTCCTCTTCTCTCTCTCTCTCTTCTCTCTCTCTCTCCTCTCTCTCTCTTCTCTTCTCTATCTCTCTCTCTCTCTCTCTCTCTCTCTCTCTCTCTCTCTCTCTCTCTCTCTCTCTCTCTCTCTCTCTCTCTCTCTCTCTCTCTCCTCTCTCTCTCTCTTCTCTCTCTCTCTCTTCTCTCTCTCTCTCTCTCTCTCTCTCTCTCTCTCTCTCTCTCTCTCTCTCTCTCTCTCTCCTCTCTTCTCTCTCTCTCTCTCTCTCTCTCTCTCTCTCTCTCTCTCTCTCTCTCTCTCTCTCTCTCTCTCTCTCTCTCTCTCTCTCTCTCTCTCTCCTCTCTCTCTCTCTCTCTCTCTCTCTCTCTCCTCTCTCTCTCTCTCTCTCCTCTCTCTCTCTCTCCTCTCTCTTCTCTCTCCTCTCTCTCTCTCTCTCTCTCTCTCTCTCTCTTCTCTATCTCTCGTTTTTTTTTCAGTCGGAACGTTTCCTCTTTTGTTTGCCGTGGCCTGCTCTGGGTGGCGTTGGGCTTATCCGGTGCCTGGTTGTATGTTTGACAGCCGCCATCCAGTTATTCCTCTTCACCGGGCGGATGGCCTGTGAGGAGCTACCAGCGCCGCTCTCCACCCCGACAGCCGGGCGCGGCCGGAACAGGGTGGGCGGCGTGCAGATGAGGGTGAATAATTATGCGAAGAACTTGTTCTCACGGACATATCATTTATCAGTGATAAATGATATGCACATATACCTTTGGTGTCGTAAATGAGGAAAACGTTTCTTCTCTGTTAGACGATATCTCTTCCAGACATGGTTTTAGGACATTCTGGACATGCGGCATATGGATGGCGCCAGCTTTTGATTATCACCCACCTTTCCTTTCGTCGTGTTGTGTGGATGTCGTCCACAACTGAGGGAAGTGTACTCAGTGCAGGCTAATTAATATCCTGACTCGCGACCAGTTACACAAATGAAACAATCCAATGGATATTCCCACTGTTGCCAGCTATGTTAAACCCCAGGGTGAAGGACTGGAGCGACTAGCCTTTATGGGAGTGTTCCATATTTGTGTGGTGGTTTGAGCTGCAAAAGCCTTGTTCTAGGGAATGTTTCATATTTGAAGACATTGAAGCAATCATCAGATATGAAACAAGTTCACTGATAAAGATTGGTATGTTTTTTTAGTGGAAAAGACTCCTATAGACAGCACAATTCTCTGTTTAGTAAATTTGTTCAGTGCGCCATAGTTTGATTACGTCATCGTACCATACACGACATTGGTTAAGAGTCAGATGACGGCCATCGTATCGGGAAATTGCATTTACGAACGCCATATATGAGCACGTCGACAATAATATTTGTATCTGCCTTGATCGCCGCTTGGCTTACGGAATGGGATGGTTGGAATGACGTTATTATGACATCAGGAATGCCAAGGCGACTTAAAATGCTCTCACCGACATACCTTTCCGCATTTTTGCGGGCGTGTAGCTCAGAAACTGGACGGACTTTGGTCTTAAAAAGGGCGGGGTTTTGAAGAGCACTGAAAGGTCTTCAAGATGATTATTTCAGTTCAAAACCCTATATAGATATGGAACACTTGCTTTAATGGTCATTCGGTGCAACTCACAGCCCAGCCATTTTGAGACCAAAGCGACTCTAGTTTCTGAGCTGCGCGCCCGCGAAGATGTGCAGACTATTTCAAGGTCACCCAGGCACCCATGATATAATAACATCATTCATGTCCTGCTGTTTCATTGGCCATGCGGCGGTCAAGGCCAAGAGTAGTTTGATTGTCGAGGCGTCTGTAGCTGGCGTCAATGAGCTAGGTTTCTAGATAAAACAGGCGTCAATGACTCTCAGTGGGTTGCAAGGTTTCATCACACAGTCAACCAGCGATGCTTTGAGGAACGGATTTACTGAAAAGAGAAACTGTGTGGCCTAGAGCGTTGTCCGCTTAGAAATGTACTAATAGTTAAAAGTTAGCCTATGTCACCATATCTGATGTTTGCTTCACAATCTTCCGATATAAAACGCTCCCTTTACAGCTGCAGCGACGGGGCTGTCACTGTACAGTATGCTACAAGTCTGCTTTGGTCACTCAAGACATACAACGAGGAAGCTGTCATCATTTGTTCCTTAAGTGTGTATGTTGCGTTTGAAGGAGGCTGGCCGGAAGTGTAGGCTATTAGACGACAACGCTTAGTGACAGCAGTCATTCAGCTTCCAGACTGGTGCTTTCGAAGCCGCTCGGTCGCCCATGACGATACAGGGCTCGAAACTGGCTAGAGCCAAAACCTTACAGGGATTATCCTTCATTTGAGGATAATGAAGCAAACACCATATGTGGTGAAAAATTTCACTGTTATGTGTTCATGTACTTTTGAGCAGAAAATACTGTTTTAGACAACGATATTTTGTTATTTGGGCGCAATATGACCCATGTAGTCGACGCGCCTAAAAACCTGAATTAAAAACAACAGATAGTTTGCGATGTAAGGAATGTGTTCCTCAATGCGTCGCTACTTGATGGCGTCATGGAACGCTTGTGTGGCAGCACCTACTTGTAGTTGTTCTATCTCCCGAGAGATGGCGGCAAGGGCCGAAATTGTTCGCTCAGCCTAATATCATTATGTGCTCTTTTTTTGCCTCCCTGTAGTGGTCTTGTAGATGTATCCATGAGTTTGAAATGTTTACTTGTACTCATATACCGTGTTATTGCGCTTTTCCAAAGTTATTTAACTGTAAGTCATATTTCCGCAATAACTAGGGAAGAATGTGAACTTTTGGCATCACGTAGCACAAACAAATGTCAGAAACTGAGGGCAGGATGTTGCATAGCTTGCACAGCGTTGGTTCAGAGCCATTAGGCGGGTTGTTAGATTTGGAAGTGGTATTCACAAAGAAATCAGATATGGACGACTACTCTCATATATTTTTTTTTTACCTTGAATGCGATTGGCCGGTGGAATGACAGGATTTGAACGGCCTTATGGCGTCACGTGTGCCTGGTTGACCTTGAAAACGGGATGGTGTTTGGTGTTCAAGCTTTTTTAGGTGTCAAGAACGGCAAGGCTGTAGCTAGAAGGGCAGGACTGTGAACTGTGAACTGCACCAAATGCTGTTCAGGATGGGCTTTTCAGGTTAAAGCCCGATACGAGTGCGGAACAGTTCCTTTTGTCTGGCGGCCAGCTCTCCATCCTGTCTCCTTTTTAGCCTTACTGCATCAGGAAAGATTCACTTTGTCACCTTGGTCACTTAGTCACTTTGCGATGCCTTCCCTTATTCCTCTAGCCCAGCTTTGTGACAGCAAATTTGTATAGTACTTGCAGGATCTACTAAGTGATGTGCATACATTCATCACACGAACGCAATGTTTTAAGGTTGTACGAAAACAATAGATGGTGAACACTTACTTAAACAACAGCTAAGACAATAGTTACAGCCTCGTTCCTCGGAGAAAAATGAGGAGAATGGAGAGATGGAAGCGTTAATATTTCGGCAACATGCGTTTGTCAAAACAATAGCGGAAGCAATTGGCTGGACTCGACTATTTACTAGCAATAGCAGAAGCTAAGCTATAGACTTCTGCCCTCGTTCCGTTAAAGGCATGTTGCGGACATATTAACGCTTCTGTGTTTCCATTCTCGTGATCTTTCCCCGAGGAATGAGGCTATTACTTCTGTCTTATCCTATGTGAACAATGTTCCCTGCAAGTGCTCTTAACATAAGTAATTTTAAACGACAGCGTATGCAGTGATAAGCATGACGCCGTTGGTGTTAAAATTTTACAAACTTCGCCCAACCTCTGCCATAGAGGTGGTACAGGGTGGTAGAAGTATGCGCAGTGAGGTGGAAGTTGAAGTGTGCATCGCTTCATACCAACTATCCTACGGCATATTTGAGCAGCTCTTTGTCTCGGAAGGTTGATATGACCAAATTGACCCATATGAGTTTTGCGTAAGGTTCTGGGTCCACGGTCTTTATTTGAAACTTTGTTGAATAATCTTTGGAACTTTGAATGTTTTTTTTGAAGTGTTATGAATTGATATCTTAGGATTTGGAAAATTTTTGAAATTGTGTCATGATTATCTGGGATCGCGTTTTTTTAAGAGTTGTGTGGAAAGATTTTCTGGATGTTTGATCTACTGTTGGGATCCTGGCACACGTCTGGATCCATTGGATGACAATTATGTGAGAGGACTTTGACCAAATACGGCGTGATGTACAGGCTGTTGATAAACATCGCACGAAAATGGCGTACGGGTCGTGTAATATAGTATTCATTATGCGCGTTTGTACGGTCGGGGAAATGCTGTTTCGTTAAACTGCACTGTTACCGTGGGTAGTTAGGAGCAAGTTTATTTCCCAAAGGTCTCTCAAGAGATGAACATTTGCTATTGAGAAATAATTCGAGAGAAATCTTCGCAAACCGGTGTTGAGGCTTCGGGTGCTGGCACGGACGTGTGCGGTTTTATTTCCACCAACGCCTTGGCGCTGCACCGTTAAGAGAGTGTCATCTGTTTTTACGTTGTCATTTGTATTGAGACATTGGGATGGTGCATGGGAAACGATCGCGCCGAGGACGTGATTTAGCGGTCCAGAAGCGAAAAGGAGAGCTTCGTAAAGCAGCAGGGTAAAAGATAGTACAGGATCCTTTTGAATATCGGAGAAGTGCACTAAGTATTTGGCTGTTGAAGTGACATACTGTTCTCTCTCTGTAATGTTTAGCTGGGTATGTGCCTGTATTCCAGTGTGATTTGGTCGTGTGCCGCTTTGCCCCCTGTTTATCATTCTTTCTGTCCATCTTTTTTACTTTTTTTGCACTATGGCGCGGTGCATTATGTTCGTATTTTGAATGAAATTGAATGGAATGAGAATGAAATGCGCTGAAAATGAAACGGCTGTTAAATGTATGCCGGTGTCGTCCGCTGCTGGCGGTGCCGAACAGCGGGCAGACTCAAGGCTGTCCATCATCAGCTCTCGGCGAGCACGGGCGAGAGCGAGACCTTCCACCTGTACTGCCCCCGTGCGGCCCGAGCGAGGGGCCCGTTCCCTCCCGTCTCATTGGGCTAGTGGCGGGCCGCTGGGCTCAGCTGGAGTGCTCGCCCGGGACGATGGCTCAGCCCCTGCACGCGGTGGCGGAGCGCAGGCCGGCTGCCGGCCGAGGCTTGAGCGTGCTGTGTGGTGTGTGGTGTTTTGGGTCACGGGCACCTTCACTGCGTGTGTCACAGCACCGTGTGCAGGCGTGGCGCCACCGGCCGTGCGGCAGCGCATGGTGCTAGACGCGAGACGACCGGATCGAACCATCAACCTCATGGAGATGGGTGGTGGAGTGCTGACATTGTCACCGGTTGATGGTGGTGGCAGCTAGCTTCATATTACCGCATTGCAAAAGGCTATTGGCGCTGCCATTGTGAGCGTTGCTGGCGGCTGCCCCGACAGTCATGTGGGTGGCCGCCGTGACCGCGCGCTCCTGATTTCGGCGGATGAGCGCTCGGGGTGCCGTGTATTCGGGCTGCTGATGGTGTGTCCGCGTCCGGCAGGCGGCGTGCAATACGGCGGTGGCGTGGCCCCGGCACCGCGGCCACTAGGTCAGCTGGACGGCGCCAGCGACCGGTGTCCGCTGGAGGCCGCCGCCAGCCCGCCGCCTGACGCGGCCCGGCAGCGTGCTGACCGACGGCTGGCGCGTCGGCTCGGCCTCCGGCCAGTCCAGCTGGACGGTCTCGGCGACTCGTCCGACAGCGACGACGACGATGATGTGGACGACGGGGATGACGACGTTGACGATGATGACGACACAGTCAACGACGAGGATGAGGAGGATCAGGGGCAGGAGGAGGTCAGGAGGCGAGCGGCGCGGGACATTCTCATTCAGATGGTGTTTGTGGTTGTAGTGAATGAGATCCTTCCGTCTGTGCAAGTCGAGGTGGATAGGCTAGCTTGGGAGCTTGCGCTCCCAAGACCATTTCAGTATTCGTGTCGTTAGTGTTCGACTGGACATTGGTTTTGTGTAACCGACAAGATGGTGAGCGCAGCTATATGCGGGCGCGGGCTGGGTGGCAGTGTATGATTGGCCCGCCATGGACCGTTGACCTCCGTCCCTGCAATGTCAGGAGCCGCTCAACTCGGAGGACGACGTGAGCGACCACGAGCCGGCCGACCTGCAGGAGACCTTCAACGTCATGGTTTGCCAGTATGACAAGGTGCGGCTCGCCCGACATCTGATGGGTCGCCGGTGGCGTCGGGTGACTGGCGTGAGGCCAGCGGGCCGACGCGAGCCGGCCATTCTCGTGGTCTGAGCCGCAGCAGCAGAGGCTGGCCGCGCTGTCATGCCTTGACCTCGTGAACCGTCTTCGGGCTTCGTCCGTATTCGGTGGCCGTGTGGTCGCTGGTCCGCAGAGCTGGGTTGCACATAGCTGGAGGTATGCTGATGGGCTGGCCGGTAGAGGGCGCGTAATGGCTGGGTGGTGAGCGCCGTGTGCTCACACGTGAGGGCCCCGGTTCGACTTCGAACCACGGTCACGTCATGGCCCTTGGGCCCTGATATAGCCTCTGACGCTCCATGAAGGGCCACGTGATGATGTGTGCAGTACTCATTTGTATTTAAAAAGGGAGACTGGTAGCAGGAAGCTCTGTTTTACATACACCGTGTTCTTTCTCAGATCACGCGTAGCAGAAATAAGTGGAAATTTCATCTGAAGGACGGCATCATGAATTTAGATGGTAAGGACTACATATTCCAAAAGGCCGGTGGGGATGCAGAGTGGTGAGATGGCCGGTGACGTCATAGTGAACAGGGATGACGTCACGCCCGGCCAGCTAGTGCTGGCTCTTGAGCTCTGGCTGTTGAGATGCGCGCAGCCCGTCCGCACGGAGTTGCGGTGTCAACTGGTGACGCTTGTGTTAGCCATTAGGTCACGTGATGCGTGCTGGGTGCGTGAGGCGTCGCCGCATGAGGCGCATGCCGATGGTTCAGGCGTCACTTCCCACCGGCGGCCGTGTTTGAGCACGTCTGGTCACCGTGGGCCGGCCGTGCGCGCCGTCGCCGTCATGGCATTGTGGGCAGTGTGTGGGTGTGTATGTGTGGACCTTCCGGCGCCAGGGAGCGGGCTCGTGTCCTCGGCCCTCGCCTTCTGTTGGCCGCATACCCGCGCGTCATGCGCCAGCGGGCACCGGCGGCGCGCGCAGGTCGGGACTTGCCCGTTTCCACCCTGCCGGCGTCTTCCTGTGTTTGCGCTCAGCACCGGCGCACCCGCGCGAGCTTCCGCCACCATGCTGACGGGTCGGCCTGACTGGCGTGTAGGCGGTGTTCGGTGGCGTTCACTGCAGTGTTCGGGTGTGCCGTGCCTTGTTGAGTGTGCTCGGTCGTCGCGGTGCCGGTGCGTGGGGAAGCAGTGGGGTCGGCCGCCGTCTCCCGCCGGCTGCTGGCCAGGGGTGGGTGGGTTGGAGCTCGTGCCGGCACCGGGAGATCAGTGCCCAGCACGAAGGTGTTGTCGCGTCCGTGTTCCACATACAGCCGGCTGTACTTGACTGGGTGGTTTGTCGCGAGGAGGGCCAGACTGGGCTGGACAGGACCGTGTGGTCGCGCTCGGCTCGCACCGTTCGAACCAGCGACTGCCTGAAACGCACGTGTGATGTATTCATGGCGATAGGACGTGTCAATAACCCAGATCACCCTCTTATCCATTGGGTTTGGCGATAAGTTTGCACCGGTGAGCTAGAAAATAATCATGTTGAGGAATCCGCTTAATAATCTATATTGATCTAGCGCGAGGCGAAGGGCTGAGCTATTTTTATGTGGCATGGAGGATTGTTTCATGCTCGCTTCCGATTGTATATGAATCAAGCCAGGAGGGTACAGACCATCCTCCTCGGTTGTTGACGTGTTTCACAGAAGCGGTCTTTGTGAGCTGGACTAAGCGCGTTTCATCACACATATTAAGTGTCATCACCTGACATCATTAAACATGGGCGCGGCTGCCCACGTCTCGGGTTACTTCATTTGACCCCTCACGCCATGTTAATCAATGTTGGGGAGATGTCGCGTCGTGAACAGGGTACTGCGCCGTTTGAAAATAATTTATATTTCTCCATACAGCACATGCATATATGATGCACTGCTTCAGTGCCATGGCATTAACCCAAAAAACAGGACAGCGCAATATGACATCTCACTGACCTTATATATGTCTGATGTTTGATGCGTTGGTTGCTGTGTTACCGCGTTCGGCTCGGCGCAAGGCGCTCAAAGTACGGCAGCCTAAAAAAAAAAACAATACCAGTGCACGCGTGGGACCGAACGCATTGCATGGCATACTTTTGGAGCAGTTTGCCGCGCCACGCTACGACAGGTTGCCGATATTGAACAAGGCGTGAGGGGGTCATATGAAAGTGAATGCTTCGCATGTAAAGATATTGAAGCAAGCATCAGATGTGGTGAAACGAACACTTTTATAGCTATTGATATAATCTTTAAGCGGAAAAGACTGCTCCAGATAGCACAATTATCTGTTCAGTAGGCATGCTACTCAATTCGTCACGGCTTGGTTACGTCATCGTACCGTGTACAATATGGAGAGCCAATTGGCGGCCGTTATATCTGCATCTAGATATAAAATATGTTATCAGATATATGTTACCGGATACGTTATATCCGAAACCAGAGGGGCTGAGGCCTTAAGATTGTGGGCAGGATTACGAACGGCATTGAAAGGTATTCAGGATGGTTATTTCAGTTCAAAATCCGATGTAAATGTGAAACACTCCCTTTAAGCAAGTGGTCGTGCGCATGGGTGCTCGATTTCAGAGCAGCTTCCTATTAAGAGTACCATCCGATTGCGATACTCGAATCAGAGTTCTGATTACGATGCTCGAATCGGAGTACCTTCCGATTACGATGCCCGAATCGGAGTATCTTCTGGTCACGATGCCTAAAGCGGATCATCTACCGGTTGGGAATGTTTTGAGACGTCGGGGCACATTTTGAGCTGTTGGTTCGCGTCTCAAGACTGGGATACGGTTTGTGACGCGTCCGCGCATAAGGGCACGTTTCCAGGCATCAGCGATACTATTGTAATTTCAATGGGCGACCATCGCTCGGATGCTCTTCTGTGTGCTTCCTCTCTCTGGACATATTCGCATACGGTATGGGCGTCCTCAGGGGCCATTGGGGGCGGCCCTCCAGGGTTTGGAACACCCAGACTCTGGGACGTTATTCTAGCCGTTGAAACATCCTGTCGAATCTAATAGACATTTTTTGAATGCTTAGGGGTCTGTGGTTCGAAGCGCCTTTTTATTTATGAGGGCTTTCTAGACTTGGGGACATTCTCAGCCCAAAGGTACAACATGGCCGAAAGAAAAGACCGTCTCACCTTTTTGCAAACTTCGGGAGCGCCCTTAGAGCTATCAGGGGCACTTCCAGTTATAAGACACCCGTTATAAGTATAGGTGTCCTCGTCCACAGAACAGGCAAGGGGAGGGGGCAGGGGGTCGAATGAGTTATGGATGGAGGAGTATTGAGGGGTCTTCCAGTCCTGGGAGTAAGAGACTTCATTTTTGGGGCACCTTCTAGGCTTGTCAACGTGTTCACAGACCACATGGCGCCCCTCGGTCCTCGGGGCGTCTCCTTCCCTCCCGCCAAGGTTTGGGATGCCTTCGAGTCTTGACCAATGGAAGCCCGCCTTGTTCTACGCTGTGCCAGGCGCGCCGCTAGGTTACGGACCTCGATCAGGAATGGCGACACCGTGATGACTGGGAAACGCGTCCTCCCACAATGTTCAGGACAGGGGATTGCTGCCTGCAACCTCGGAGAATTACACGGTACCTCGGAGAAAAAAAAAACAAGCTAAAGGCGAGGCCAGCAGTTTCAGCTGACACAAACCCGAAGCAAGCCGTGAAAAAATGGATAAAGCCAAACTTGGACCCGAAGCCATTTGAGAAAATATTGGAATTGTGACCACCACATTTATTGGGAGTACCACGTTTCAGAGCTTGGCATTCTCTTCTACCAGTGCTCCACAGAGTTAATCTGGCAACCCAGCCGTCACGTCACCGCAGGGCACCTTGGCAAGCCATAGCATTGTAAGCCTATAGGAAAAGATCTCTCAAATAGTCTCAGAAGTAAGTAGTAGTGATGCAGATTGAAAAGGTGCAGACGGCTGAAACTCCTTCAGTACCAGACAAAACGTGTGTACTACGCCAGGTGTACTTTTGGAGCTCAATGTCTCAACTGTGGGACGTAAGTCGTCTTGCACGGGCGTTGCAACGTTACGTCAGCATAGGTGGCGTCAGTGGCACCAACATCTGATTTATAGATGGTGCTAGTGCTGTTAATTGGTTCTTATACTGGCCCGGTTTTCCGAGATGCTTTCTTTTGCCTCCCCCCCCCCCCCCCCCCGAAGCATTCTGCGTGTTTTGAATGCAAGCTGTGCTTGTGAGGTGTGAAATATCTTAATACCTTGCATGGGACATATCTTTCCTCTACAATGTTTGATCATCAAAGCAAATTCATGTCCCAATGGCCTGCCATTCTAGTCTAAATGCCGTACAACGTTCTGTTACTTAACATTGTTCACCTATATGTGTGCACCCGCTAAGTATGGCGTTCATTGTAATATTTGGCAGATTTTTCTTGATTGACGCTTTTAGCCCTCCCAAGTTCCCTAAATATTGAACCAGTGACACGGCTGGTACTTTGACAAGGGCTTTTCATTATAAGTTACTTGGGTGTTTTTTATCCACGAAAGGTAGCGACCGCGAGAGCTTATGTGCTGGGGTCAGATGCTGTCACTTCTCTCGACCACACCGAGTAACATTTTGAAATGAGCCTTATTTATTCTGCGGAGGTGTGGAAAGGTGTGGCAAGATAACAAAGTGTACTATTTGAGTAATATGAAGCAATGAACCCTGTCGAGAAATGCCCCGTGAGTGCCACGGCAAATGTTTTGCATTTGAAAAGGTGCAGACCTTGAGCTGTCGAATCAACATCCTTACGGTTTGAAACATAGCGCCTAATACGGCTCCAGATCACATGTCAAACAGACGCATCACTCCTCTCGCTAAACCGAAGCAACCGAAGCTCTTAACACATCTGCATAAGGTCAGCAGGTGAGTGGAAGAACAGCTCTAGCTCCAACGGGGACGCATTCTGCCCATGTATGAGGTGCAGGGCATATGCAAAAAGATCACAACCCGAAGAAAGCTAAAACTGGGTGCATATGTTGCAATGTACCGGATGTAATGTATGTATGTCTTGATAGAAAGACGCTACAGACATCACTGCGATGCCAGAAAATGATAGTTACAAAATGCCGGAGGCGGAGGAAGCAACCATTTTACCCAAAGGGATCAATAATAGTGGACCAGCAGGGCGTAATGCAGTCTGCATCGAGAAGCAGAGCTACCCGGACCCTTTGCGTCTAGGCCAACTGAGAGTCCTACGCTGCAGCCGGGAATGTATCGCTAGCCGTCTACACACCAGAACCAGACACTCTTGGAGCGCGCTCACCAGCTCCAGGAAGCGTGGCGGGACCTTAAACCTGATCATACCCCTACAATCCAACCACCGGAACGGTGAGGAGCAAGCTCGGTCGGCCCGAAGCGTCATTGGCGATCAAATGCGTTTCTATTAACTACTCAGTGGCTGTGCTCCGATTAAGGCACTACTCTGCCAAAGTTTAGAGCCCACACCATCATATTTTCAAAAGTATTTCACAACTGTGGATGGTGATTAGACGTCGGTTCTTGCGATGCATTTTCAGCGCATTCAATAGCCTGAACTCGGCGTTTGATCACACATGTAACTGCTGGAATCTGTTCTGTGTTTTTCATGATTAAATTTTGTCACGACAAAAAAAATCGTGATTTTTCAATTGTTTATGATGTCTCAGTGATATTTCAGTAGCATTTTTTAAGTTACCCCGTTAAAAGTATGACTTGGCAGCTTGCCAAAAATTTAAGGATTTTGGCGTGCCGGAATCAACTTAATCCAAGTTTTGCTACGGCTGTCAAGCTGGCAGCAGTTTTATGTCAAGCTGTGGGTCGACAATCCGGGCTCTCATGACCTGCCTGCGAACTGGTAGGCTGAAGTCATTGGGTCTATGCAGCTCAAAGCCTGAAAAGGTTGGGTGAACATACCCAATGTCAGAGATGAGATAGCTCGAAGTTCGAGGCTAAACAGAGCGGAACCTTTTGATACAGTTCTATATTTCGTGGTCTTTTAAGGACAGACCACGGCCGGTTGCTGCCTGGTCCTGCTCTGTCGGTTGCTGCTCGCCGCCCGCACCTGCCTCAGATTGTTGCGCGGTGTTCCTAAAAATGATAACTTTTACGAAACCAGATACTGCAGACACATTTTTGTGCCTAAACGCGCACAATGAATGCCCCCGAGGAGGCAGAAAACTTGAGCACGATCGCACGACCTGCCGAAAAATGCCCTCAGAAACCTTTTGGGAGGGAGTGAGGCGCATCCCATGACAGCATTCTCCACCTTGTCAACTCTCCTTCCAGAGAAGGCTTGAGAACTCATGAAA